CGCCGGCAGCTCCTCGGACGAAGTCGAGGAGCCCACAAAAGGCGACGGCATCGTGTGGCTCGACCCAAACGAGTCCCGCCGCCCGTCGTCGGGGCCGCCGAAGGGCCCGGGCAGCATCAGCGTCGGCCTGCCGGGCGTCGTCTGCCCCGACCCCAGCGGACCGCCTCGGCCGCGGCTGCGACCGATGCTCTGCGCCGTCCTCGGATCGACCGCCTGCATCGGACGCGCGTAGGGCAGACTGCCGGCAGCAGAGGCGTTGATGACCGGGAACGAGGCCGGGCGTCGCAGCTGGTTCGAGTGGTCCGAAGACGAGCCTCGAGGGTCGTCGAGGTGTTCGGCAGCGCGCTTGAGCGAACGCGGTGAATCTGCGGGTACGACGGCGACGCGAGGGTCGAAGAGCGGGATCGTCAGTATCTGCCCGGCCCACGCAGGCAGCAACGGGAGACGGATCCAAGACTCACTGCTGGTCTCTGGGAGGTTGCCGTAACCTCGTAGCTTTGGAGAATTCGCATCCGAGCCGCCCTGCACGCCGACGCCGAGCCCGACCGGACGGCCGGGCTGGCTTCGGGCGACCTGCCTGCCATCATAGTGGCCGGCGGTGGGGAAGCGCGAGCGCGTGGGAGAAACGTCGGCCGAGGACAGCGTGCTACCAGCCAGGCCGGTCCGCTGGTCGCTGTAGGCGCCGTAGTTCTGGAAACTGGTGCCCGCATCGCTGCCTAGGCCCGCGTCGCCCCCAGAGAGGCCGAGCTGGCCGATGGAGCTGGCAAGTGACGTGTGCCGGGTGTGCTGCGGGAAAAAGGCGGACCGCGAAGATTCGCTGCTGCTGCCGCCACTGCCTCCGCCACCGCCATACTGCTGGCCGGTGGCCGCGCCGAGTCCATGCCCGGGTGCGAGTCCGCCGACGTTGCCGAGGTCCTGGTGGGTGTAGCCGGCGTGCGCATGCTGCGACCGCGGCGCCTGCTCGTCGTAGCTGTATGACGACGTCGAGTCGCCCTTCATCCTGAAGCTGGAGCCCGGGTAGCCGGCGAGGCCGCCAAACGTCGAGCTTGAGCCGGTTGCGGCGTCGGCCGACTGGAACGAGGTCGAGGATGGGATCGTGGCTGCTGGGCCGTAGTTGAGGGCTGGGCTCTGCGAGGCGCTGCTGGTCATGGTGCAACGATGCGGGGCGAACCTCTTGCGAGCAACGGGCGTCTCAGAGACCGGCGCGGGTCCAAAAGAACTGGGAACTGAGGCCGAGCGAAGGAGAGCCGGGGCTGTCGCCGGTGGCGATGCGTCTGAAGATGTCGCAACAGAATCGGGATCAAGAGGGTCGGAGCGGGCGGGTGTCCGGTCGAGTCGAGGAGCGAGCCGGTCGATCGCGACGACGTCGGCGAGGTGGCAGTGGCGGTAGTGGTGGACCGGGAGTTGAAGGAAGATCCATCCAAGAAGAGCGTGGCGAGGAGAGACAGTGTGCGACCGAGGTCAAGACGTTGAAATAGAGACACCAGTTAGGATCCGGACCGGTGAAACGGGATGAGACGAGACAGGTCGTGACGAGAGACAGGTGCGCGTTGGCAGAGGAAGGTGAGATGTCGAGAGACAGGTGCGCGTAGGCAGAGGAAGTAGGATGAAAGGGTCAGAAGAGAAGGAGAAGGAGGTGAAGGGAGCGGGTCGGATGACATCGATGGTCAGCAGAGCTCGATGGGCCTCTTGTCAGCTTACGACGCGCTCCACTCACCACCGGCGAAGGTCTGGCTTCTTGGTTGACTATGTCTCCGTTCCGGACGCCGGATCGAGAGGCAGCCGGTGTGACGCAGAAGCGAAAAGAGCCGCAGGCAGAACTACCGTGAGACCGCTTGCGGTAGGCTGAGGCCTGAGGGTAAAAGGCAGCGCAGTGGCGAATTAGGCGCGGGATTTCGATCGTCGAAGCGGCGCCGAGACGTAATCGCACGAGGCCGACGGGTAGCAGGTCGCAGTTGGCAAGATCCATCCGCACCAGGCGAGCGGGTGGTCACCGGGAACGGATCGGGAAGGCCAGGGAGGGGGAAGCGCCAACGCCGAGTCGAGGCAGGGATGGTGCAGAAGGGCAAAGGATGAAGAGGGCGGCCGGACGACCCGGACGGTGGTGGTGGTGGTGAGCAAGGGCAGCGAGGATAACGGTAGGTGGAAGAGATAGAGAGACAGAGGGATGGGGGAGACGTCAGCAGACTGAGACAAGCCAGGGAGGAGGAGGCATGCCGAGCCCAGACTCTTCGCAAGAGGCAGCTGCTCCCAGGGTGAGACATGGAGTGGCACGCAGGGCGCGCCTGCCATAACCGGCAGGGGCGCGATCTTCCGGCCTCGTGCTCGCTCCGCGCTCGGCCTGGTCTCGCCAGACACCACCGCCGCCACGCTCCCGGCTGTGACCGCGGCCGCGGCCGAAATGAACAAGGTTCGAGGAACCGACAACGGATGCTGCGCTGGTCTCGATACGCCAAGCGCCTTGCGCCGTCGGCGTGTTACACTCTGCGTCTCGCGGAGTGAGACTGCATGCTGCACCTTCGTCCTTGACCATCCGGCGTCGCCCCGCTCGACCCAGACAGTCTATCTTGGAAGACGCACGGCGAAGTGCCCCAGGTAAGATGCAAGGGCCGGTCGCAAGCGTGGCGCCCGGAGGTGGCCGCGACAGCAGCGGCGGGCCCCGGCCAGGCGAGCCGCCTATCGTGACAACACGGAACGGATCCAACACCGTGCCGTCCGGACGCCGGTTCGTGTGACACAACTGCGCAGAGCCCAAGCGCAGAGCCCACTCACCTGTCAGTCGAGCAGCTCGACGAGGACTGCGGTGCGATGAAGCACAGCGCCGTGTTGATGAGACCGAGGGTCTAGAAATGAAGGGAGGATCGTGCTCGAGCGAAGGCTTTTCCTGCACTGCTAGCGCCGGGATGGTTTCGCCGAACCGCAGCGCCACGGGTCGTGCGACAATGGGAGAAGGGCGACATGAAGCGAGGCGGTCCGAGGAGGTGCCGAGTGACCAGCACCGTGGCGCGGTCGGACAGCAGTCGGGGCATCGTGACAATGGCACAGGTGGGTGCCAAGAAGCGTTGCCGGCAAAACCAGCAGGGACGATAAGGAAAGGGAGGGGCAAAGAAGAACATTCATGGATGTCAGTACGGCCGCCGCTCGATTGCAGGACCACCAGACGGTCTATCGGCCACCCACCTCTGCCTTGGCGAAGCTCGACGACCGAGACGAGAAGGAGGTGCCAAGAGGAGTTTGGACCCTTGTAGACGCCTGTGGCGACGTGAGAGCTCAACGGGGGCCGCTGCCGTGCGTTTGACGAGGAGGAGCGATGTTTCCAGGGGCAAGAACCGATTGCCCCGTGGATGGTTGCGGAAAGCAGGCAGAAAGGGGTCCTCCAAGTCGCAGGAACGGCGACTTCCGGCTGCGTCGGGAATGGCGACAAGAGGGTCGAAGAGAGTCGGTCGGCCGGGAGAAAAAGGGCGGCCCTGATTGGCGGTGGGGCGGGCTTGCGCGTTGTTCAACAGAGCCCGGACCACGTCGGTCGAAGGTGGCCGGGTCGCGCACACAAAGGGCGGAGGAGGGACTGATTGGCTAGGTCGCCGCAGTCTGACAGCTTTGTCGGACGCTGGTGGCGCTCGAGAGCAAGCGACGATACCGACGAGCGAGTCCGCTTGGGCAAGGCTGGCAGAGGTGAGTGGGAGACGGGCTCCTTTGTCGGAGGTGCTCTGCTCGCAGCCAAAGGATCGAGCTAACTGGTGCAGGCGACCACGATACGACGGCGTCAATCGGCACCGGTGGTGGTGAGAGCGGTGGCGACGAGATGGTGCTAGCGTAGCGGTGGCGGTAGTAGAGGTGGCGGTGGCGAGGACGAGGCTCGAGGTTGGAAGAAGCAGAGAAAGGGAGACGGGGTAACGGAAGGGGCCGAAGGGGGGGCGGCTCGAAGGCGACTAGGGGTCGGCACCTATTTGAATCAAAGCTGAGACAAGTCGAGCGTCGAGATGAGACACGCGCGCACGCAAGCGGCCGCTGCTTCCGCCGCCGGACAGCCACCTGTGGCAGGCGACCGACGGTGCTGCCCCAAGCAGTCGGAAGCCTTTGACCAGGCCGGGTCGACTGGTGCTGACCCTTGCCCGCTGCAGGCAGGGCGTCTACCGTACCTGTACGTCCCCTCGCAGCCCTCCAGTGGCGGTTGATGGTCAGCACGCCGCGAGATTGCCTTGTAGAGCGGCAGCGAATGGCCGGATCCGTCGAGACCAAGAGCGCTGCCAGTCGGCAAGGTTCCGAAGAAACGGCGAAGGGCGGCGCCGGGCCGACCGAGCCAGTAAGCCAGCGAGCCCTATTGACGTCGTGTCAAAGGAGCGGGAGCGGAATGCACGCCGGCTCGAGTCGTCACCTTCGGCCGATCCGGCGATCAAAGGGCATCTAGCGTCCTCCCTTCCTCTTCGCCGGAACGCAGCAGGTGTGAGCGGCGCCAGCGGATCCGTCGATCAACGGATCGGGTTCGACGAGGCAGTAGACCGTGCCGCCCACAACGTCAGCAGGAGCGGAAAGAGGCGGACGAGGGGGGAGCGGGCGAGGGGGGAGGGGAGGCGAGCTCGAGGGCGGGCGTGTATCGAATGCGGGCAGACGCGACCCCTACGACGTCGCCGAAAGAAGCGTCGATGCGGGTGAAGGGAGGCTACCGACGAGGGCGACTGTAGGATGGGCGAGTTGCGCAAGAAGAGCCAGCCGGGCGAGCGGGGAATGATGGAGATCAGGAGGGGAAGAGCGGGGCAGGAGCGGGCGAGAAGATCGCCCCCGCCTGGAGGAGCGTTCTCTTGGCTTGGCTCGTCGGAAGGAGGCCGGAAGGCAGGCAGGCAGGCAGGCGGGCGGGCGGGCGGGCATGGAGGAGGAGGGGCAGGCCAAGCAGGCAGGCAGCTTAGGGTGTGCAAGCTCGACCCTGCCGCCTGTCTACAGCAGCTCTGGCCACCGGATGCGGTGCCTCTTCCCCAGCGAGGCGTCGCGAGAGGGCGCAGACCGGCATGAAGCAAGCGGAAGGCACCCAGGCAGGCAGGCAGGCAGGCAGGCAGGCAGGCAGGCAGACAGGCAGGCAGACACCAGGCGGCGGCTTGGCTGGGCAGGAACGACCAACTGACCGACCGACCGACCCGACGGCCTCGACCGACTCCGGCCAAGCCGAGAGAGAGAGGGAGAGCTTAGCGTGCGGAGCTGCCCCTCTGGCTGGCGGTCTGGCACCCCTCGCCTCTCTCTCGAGCTTGCTCGCCCCTCCGTTCGCTCGCTCTGCCTAGCGCCTCGACCGACTCTGTCCCTTCCCCGCCTCGAGCTCCACGACATACCACTCTCGCTCGCTGCACCAACGACACGGTCTAGCCGCGCACGCCTGTCCGAGGGGAAGAGTAGCCCTCCGACGACGACGCCAACCTGGCCTGCTGGGCAGGAGAACGGGTCGTCCCGGGCATTGGGTCCGGACCGAAGGGCGGCACAGAGGCTAGGGCGAGGCCAGCGGGCGAGAAGGCAGCGCAACGAACCTCCGGCCTCTCCGACCCTCGACGCAGGGTCGTCTGCTTCGACGGGCAGGCCAGGCCAGCCGCGTTGAGTGCCTGCCGCGCCTGCCCGGCTGGCTGGCTTCTGCAAGCCTGCCTGGCATTTTGTCCGCCTTCCCGGAAGCGGAAGCCCCAGGCACGCAGGCAGGGAGCGGCGGAGCTCGGGAAAACCCGAAAAGCGGACGAGCTGCCGCAGGGTGGCGCGCGCAGGCTACGTCAGCAGCTGCGAGCCAGGGCAAGCGGCCAGCCTAGCCTGCCCGCCTCTCAACTCTCAACTCTACCTAGCTCCCTGCCACCGCACCGTGAGCCAGCCACCGCACAACCAGCAGGCAGGCATCCGCCCTTCTGGATGCGGCAGAGAGGTGCCCTGATCCGCTGGAGCGTGCAAGCCTCTTCTGCCCTGGCACTTGAAATTGCGCCTGTCCCCGCCGCTACGACGCCGCTGGTCGAGGCGTCGAGCCCAACGGCTAAAGCCAGGCGAGGGAGGGGTGGCAAAGATGTATGCGGCTTGCCCTCTGACAGGCAGGCAGGCAGGCAAGGAGGGGAAGAGGCGACGTCGGGTTGCCCGGCGGAAGTCGAGCTTGGCTTGGCCTTGCTTGTTTGGTTGTTGCCGGATGGGCCGCCGTCGAAATGCAGCCGAGAAAAAATCGGCGGAAAAGGCCAGAAAAGCAAGCCGGTCCTCCAGCCGAGGCCGTCGAGCGGCAGGCCGGGCCAAGCCAAGAGGCGAGGCCTCACAACCAGCCTGCCTCCCCTTTTCAAAGACGAACAAAAAAAAAAATGGCCGCCGCCGCCGGGCGATTCAACATCCAAGCCCCTCGAGGCAGCTGCCCAGGCTGGCAGGCACGCAGGCACTAAGGCACCGAGGCACGGTGCGGTGGCTTGCTGCTGCGCAGACCTCGGTGCCTGATCCACGGCCCCCTTGCTGCCTCTCAAGCTGAGCCGGCCTCTGGGCCTCGACCACGCACGCCGACCCCCCCATCATCCTCGCAGAGCCTGGGCTGGCCTGCCCTACCCCACCGGTCACGCTTCGTAAAGTTATGCTGCTTGTCGAGTCGCCCCCCACCAGGCCGATCCGGAGGCGGCGGCGGCGACGACGACGACGACGACGACGACGATGATGCTGGCCATCAGCTGGAGCATCTGGCATCGACAGAGGATCGCCAGGCCGGGCCATCAGCATGCTTGAGGATCGGCCCTGTCCGCCATCCGCCAGGTTTAGTGCGTGGTACGGTACATACCTTGCCCCGTCGCGGCACTCGTACTGCTCTCACGCCGTACCTACGTCCGCTTCTTTGGCGAAGGCAGTTGCCACCGTACCAGCACCGCCACAGCTCGACGGCTTGCATACAGTGGTTTCGATTCTGTCCCTAGCGTGTGTACCGGTGGCAGGGCAAGGCCAGCCGGCCACCGAGCGCCGCGCCGGCATGGCAGGGGCCCGCGCACCGGTACGCCTCGACGCCGCTCCAGCCCTATCGGAATCTGTCTCTTGGCCACCTCGTCGACCGAGCTACACCAGCCATGGGCGCATGCCGCCGCTACCCTACGTTACGGAACCCTTCTCCCTCGGTCCTCGCCTTGGCCCGCTCGACCTGGCAGGTTAGAGGCCGTACGTCGGCGCGACAATGAGCCGGATGGACCCTGTCGCCGAAGCAATCAAGCGGCGCCGTGGATGCTCACTACTTCTGCCTGGCGAGCTCGTCTGTTAGCAGCTGACGACCGACGTACTCTTCCTGCCGAGGTCGGCTTCGCCTGCCCGCCTGCCTCTCTGCAGCGGCCTGGCTTGCCGGACTCCTGGGCTCGCTGCCGGGTCTCTTCTTGGCGGCAGCGGCTGTCGTCGAAGACGGAGAAAGGGGGCCTTGCGAGGCAGACGGGCTCGATTCTGGCGGCAAAGGCCAAAGAGGAGCATGCATCGCCTTTGGGATGCGCCCTTGATCCGCGAGCTCCTGGCTCACGATGAGCGCCTCTCGGTCGATTTGAACAGCAAGCTGAGGTCTTTGCTTCAGCCCTTCTGCCGATGGCGATTCGCTCCCGCCGCTTCTCAGGCTAAGAACTTACCATGACGCCGTCGCTGTCGACAGAGTTCCGCGCCTACTCGCGTCCCGCTCCAGAACGACTGCAACTCCCGCCTTCTCGAGTCAAGCACCACTCGAGAAGCTCGGCGTATACGAGCAGCGGTTGGCCTGTCGGGCAGGCGGTACCGCCACCCACGAGCGCGGCCACAGGGTGAGACTTGTCTGAGCCAGCGCAGATGGCCCTGCGCAGAACCAAGCAGGCTAGGATCGTCTATGTACCTGCCTCGTCGGTCGCTCAGCCAAAGTCTCAGCCGCAGCAGAAGCAGGGCAGGGCTGGGCACGACTTCTGTCGCACGTCGAGCGCCTGTCCGGCCGAGTCAGACACACCGACTCGTCCAGATCTGACACGGGCTGGCTCGCCACCGGCGGTGGTGGTAGGCCTGCCACGCCATGCTTCACACGAGGACCCTCTGGATCATTGTGACGCGACGTCTTGACATCGCACAGCAGAGGCTCTCGGTATGGAACGTCGAGAACCAAACGAGGCGCCCCGAGTGAAGATCGTTCCTGCGGCAAAACCCACTTCCGCACGAGGACCTCGCCCGGCGGTGGCCATCATGGAGCTGGCTCACCGGCCCAACGACCAAGGACCGCATGCGTCGCCGGGCGAAGAGTACGCGCGTTCGACGATACCCACACACGGCATTCGGAGGTCTCTACTGCGCAGCGGGCAGCGCATCGCCGTCTCTCCGACGAGCCACAACTCTCCATCGCCAGCCGAGAGAAGGCGACCCTGAGGACGTGCGCATGCATGCATGCGACGCAGGGTTCCCATGCCGCCCCACCGCCGCCGCTGCAGACATCGCCCGAGCGCAACGCCAGCAGCTACATAGGTCACTACTGTAACGCCGCCTCTGGCTGCCCTGATCGCCGCCAAAAAGGAGCAAGGAGGCTCTCGTCCTACGCGCAGCAGGCCGATGTCGGTCGGAGATACTGGACTGCGACAGCGTCGGCGACTGCGACTGCGACCGCAGACCAGCGCGGCGCTCTGTCGCCGATGTGAGGATCGACGTCCGACTCGACCCCCGAGTCGGGCTTTTGAGACGAGCTGTGCATAGTCCGCCAGGACGCTTCGACGGACGAGTCTTCCTTCCAAGGTGGCCGCCGGCACCAGCGTCGACCGGTACCGCGCCTCGTCGACGTCGATGTCGACGTCGTCGAAGCCACCTTTGAAGTCGCTCGTCGATGCACAGGTCTCGCAACGGGACGGTGTTACCTTGCCCTCGACTGCATTCACCTTGCACGCCAAACCCGGGGTCAGGGCCACTACTACCGTCGTTGTTGTTGCAGCAGCAGCAAGTTCGATGGCAGGACCCACCACTCCGCTTAAACGGGGCACGATTTCGAGCAGCACGCATCGGTCGTGGTTCCTGCGTGGAAGCAACGCTGGTTGAGATCACGGTCGATCAGGCACCGACCCAACGCGCTGAAGTGCCGGGCATGGACCGGAAGGCCATAGGCCGATCACGTCGCTGCGAAGAGCCACATGGTCGTGGCATGGTCAGGGCGGCTACTTACAGGAGTCTGACGGACGCCGGTCGATCCCCATCCGACGACTCCGCCTTCAACCTCCGCCACCGCTGCTGCTGCGCTGCCAGCGTATGGAACGTGGCGAGGACGGTGCCTGGGGTACGGTACATACAGTACACTAGCGACCTCGCCAGGCCTTCGATGGCACAATAGGCAAAAGGCCAGCCACCAGCCCGAAGGACCCCCCCCCCCCTCCCCCCCCCGCCCCCCCCGGACGTGGTTCAAGATCCGACGCAACGGCCAGGCGGACTCCGACCGAGTGGGTACACACGGTACCTGGTTCCCGGGCTGCCACCTGCCTCACGGCCTGCCCTGCCCTGCCCTGCCCTGGCATCACCCTTCGCCCTAGGGAACATCTTCCACGACGCAGGGTGGCCCTTCGCCGCATTCGAGAGGAGACAAGGTCCCTACAGCAGCGCCACAAAGATAAGGCTCACGGCCGCCCCGACGCCGAGAAGGGGACGCCTACATAGCAGCGACGCGAAGAGATGCAGCGACCGTCGCCGTCAACGTCGACGGGGTGCCTGCATCGACTCGACGACGCAGGTACCAGACGGCGTCCGCCGAGCCCAGGCCAGGCCGGGTCGCGTCGGTCCAAGCCGCACCCTGGTCCCGTAACCCAAATCTGCCAACGCCTCGTGCCGTCACCCGTCAAGCAGGCGAACCGCTTGCTGGTTTCCACCGCGACGACGACGGCGATGGCGACAAAGGGACGCACGACGGCGTCTGGAACCGGGCGCATGGCTCTCACGGTCGCCTGCACACGGCGTGGGTACGTGGCCGCATGAGCGCCGCCGAGGCACCGCCATTTCCACGGCTCTCGGTCGTCTCGACTCAGCCCCGCCTCGCTGGCGCCTCGCCCGGAAGCACCTCGTCGAATCCGGGAGAGTCAGAGCGGGGCGGGGGCAGACTCTTCGAGAGACGTAGACACAGGCGTCTTGGTCTCGCTGCAGCCGTCGTGTCGCAACTCCCTGTCTCGTCGCAGCCGTCGTCTCGTCGCAGCCGTCGTCTCGTCGCAGCCGTCGTCTCGTCGCAGCCGTCGTCTCGTCGCAGCCGTCGTCTCGTCGCAGCCGCCTTGCGCCATCCACACCCAACCTCGGGGCCACCTAGGCCTCCTCTTCTTTCGATCTCGCGTCAACCTTCCGCACCGTCTTCGCCACGCCTGTCCGGATTTCACCGGCCTCAACTTGGCGTGGCCAGGACGAGGCCGAGGCCGAGGACGAGGACGAGGACGAAGACGAGGACGTCGTTCGGGCCCAGATTTGCGTGTACCGCCATTCTCGACGATGTGCCTGGCGGTGCGTGGCAAGGCGAAGAGAGGCCAAGCCCACGACAGGCGAAACCCATTGAATGGCGACTAGGATCCCGATGCTCCGAGCGGCCGACGATCGACGGGACGTCTGGAGCCAGCGGCGCCAAAGGAAGACGGTTCTGTTCGACATCGTCGAGCTCAATCTGATCCGATCCGGTCGGGCCAGAGCTCTCTTCTCGATCCTCGCCCGACACTCACACGACTTCGTACAGAGCATGTCATCTTCTCCGTCCAGCAGGCATCTCTGCATGCAATTCCATCTGCGCTGTCGAAGACGAGGCAAACCAAGGTTAAAGCAGAGGATCGTCTAGGCGTCAGCACGCGTCCTTCCCCCGACCATCTATGTACTGTACTGTACTGTACATTGGCGATCGACGAGTCGCGTCGAAATAAAGGGCGGGGGGACGGACTCACGTGTCAATCTAGTCTATGGATCGAGGATGCCACGTCGGACCTCGGTGCGCATCGCCTCGTCCCACATGGCGATCTCGAGTCGACATGATCTGTGATGTGGAACAGCCCCGGCGCGACGGCATCGTCGAACAGGGGGAGTGCGGAGGATAGGACAGAACGGGGTCGACGTGTAAGCCGATCCAGCCCGAATGTCGTGTTTCGAGATGCAGTCGAGAGAGGAACGGGGGGGAAGGGATACGTACGCGTCCCAGATTTTCTGGAGCTTTTCGAGGCGGACCGCCGATGGTGGGTCTTGCGATGCGATATCCTCAAGGAGCGCTGCGTGTGCCAGACATACAAGGGCCAGCATGGCGGGGACGAAGAGGGCGTCAGTCGACGAGGTGGGTCTCGAGATCAGCTAGGCGGGGGACCGGCCACGCATGTGCGCCACTCACCCATGCCATCACGCACGGCCTGCTGGAACTCGTCTCCCGCATACCCCTGGATCCAGGTCTGCAGTCCCTCTTCCCTGTCGTCACCACCGTCTGCCTTGATCCCTGCACCGTCACCTCCTTCCGTACCTGTCCTCCTCCTGCTCCTTCTCCTCTCGTCCTCGCCGCGTCCGAGGAAGAGTCCAACCTCCCCGTACCCGTACAGGCACGGGGCGAGGGCGACGATCAGGTCGAGGATGCCCCCGCTCCTCCCCACCCCCTCGACGAAGCGGGTGTACGCCAGCGTAGCCTGGCTTTCGACGGTACCGTGCTCCAAGTCGTCCTTGTCGACGCCAAAGCGGGCGCAGAGCCCGACGTGCATCTCGGCCTCGTGCACCATCGAGAGCGAGATGCGCGCAAACGTGGCGATCTGCTCAAACGAGTTGGCCGCAAACGTGGCCGCCAGCGACCAGAGGCGCGCATAGTGGCGGAGGAAGACGTAGTCCTGGCGCAGGAAGTAGACGAACGCCTCGAGCGGGATGGAGCGGTCCGCTATCCCGAGCACAAACGGGCTGCGCGTAAAGGCGGCCCAGAGCGGGAGCGAGTTGGACACGAGGTGCAGCGTGAGCGGGTGCGGCGCCTGGCGCGTGGCGCGCGGCAGCGAGCGCGCCTGGATCGGGAAGCCGTGATCCAGCGGGCCAGAGCCCTGGCCCAGGTCCTCGATGCCGCAGGCGATGGCTCGCTGGACGTAGTCGATGCCGATCGAGACGGAGCGCAGCAGGCTGTGCCCCTGGGCCAGCGATGCGGCCACGGCCGACGACAGCGTGCATCCCGTGCCGTGCGTGGCGGTTGACGAGACGAATGGCTTGACAAAGAGCGTGTAGCTGCCCTCGCCATCTGCGCCGCCCCGCTCAAAGAGGACGTCGCAGATGACCTGTTGCTCGTCGTCGTCGGCGGTATCGCCGCCGTCGAACGCGGGCTGTTGGGACGGCGGTGGGGGGTTTCGGAGGATGTCGGCGTAGGGGAACTCGTCGGTGCGCACGACGGTGATGTTGCCGGACTGGGTGATTGTGGCGCCGTGGAGGCCGGCGAGGGCGGCCAGATCCTGCTGACGGCGGCCGTCGTCTTCGTGGTCGCTGCCATTGCCGAGGGCGCTCCTAGACGTGCCGCCAATGGCAGAGACGCGTTCTGCTGTCCTATCTGCAAGGTCCGGCCGCGAAGATGTCGGCCTCTGCTCGAGCGGAGCGATGGGGCGCTGGTCGCGACCGGCGGTGAGCTGCGCGATCTGGGCGAGAACCTGGCCGCGACCGAGTTTGGCGTGGCCGCCCTTGACGAGCACGGCCGAGGGGCCGAGGCCTGCAAGCTCGTTTGCGGCCTGGACCATGGCGGGGATGTCGGTCGAGTGCTCGAGGTGGTAGGCGTCGGAGGCGGAGCCGGTGCCGGTGTCGTTCTGGTCGCCGGTCGGCGCTGATGGCGCTGCGCCGCTGGTGGGTGCTCTATTGGCGTATCTGAGGAGCTGCTTGGCCTCGGGCAGGTTGGGCGTAAGGAGAGTGCAGAGGGGCAGGAGGTGCTGGATGAGGGAGACGACTGCCGAGTCAGAGAGGAGGAGGGAGCCCGAGGTCGAGACCATGACGGGGTCGAGGACGATGGGCACGCCGTGGCCGCCGAGGGGCGACGAGGCGTTGCGCGGCTGCTGCTTCCAGCTGGCGAGAGCGTGTGCGAGGGCGACGAGGATGTCGTGGTTGCACAGCATGCCGAGCTTGACGGCGTCGATGCGGATGTCGCGGGTGACGGCGTGGAGCTGGTCGACGACGAAGCTGGCGGGGGGCGCGTGGATGGCCGAGACGCCCGTCGTCGACTGGGCGGTGAGGGCGGTGAGGACCGAGAGGCCGTAGGTGCCCAGCGAGAGAAAGGTCTTGAGGTCGGCCTGGATGCCCGCACCGCCGCCCGAGTCGGAGCCGGCGATGGTGAGGACGCGCGGCGGCGACATGGTGAGCGGCGGGGGACCAGAGGGGCGGCCGACGGCTGGCGGCTGGCGGCTGAGGTGGAAGCGAGCGAGAGAGCAGTGCGAGGTCAGTCAGTCGTGGGTGGAGGCTCGCTGTCGTCGGCACGGCGGGGTCATGGTGTCGGGTTGAGAAGAATACAATACACAATTGAGAGTGAGAAGAATGGGGTCAGACAGAGGACCGGCCGCCGGCCTGCTGCGCCGCCGCGTCTCGGCTTCTTGCTGCAGCAAGTTAAGCATCAGCGGGCCACGAGCCAGGACCCTCGCACGCCTTGCTTCCTCAACCTATGTGTGTGTAACCTGCCCCACCTCCCCTCAGAGTGCAAGCAAGCACCTGCGACGGTGTGCCCAGGTCTGGTTCGACCAGCTTCAATCAGAAGGGGCTGGGCACTGCCATTGTCGTGTACGCATGCCTCGGTTGACAAGCAGGCTCAGTCACCCAACTCACGACAGACAGCCATGCATCCCACAACGTAACAGACAGCGACAAGGTGATGGTACAACGTGGTCGCTTGTTGATGAGCAGGCCCAACTAGCTCGACTCGACTCACCACGTCTGCTCAACACGACTCTACAGATTCCCGCCCTCAGCTGCAGACGACAGATTGACTGCAGAACAGATGCAAGGGCGAAGTTCGTAGCAAACGACGGACAGGTTGCGTCTCTCAGAGCAGCGACGAGGAGGGTTTGCACGTCCCTGTCGAGCTGGCATCCTCGCCCGTCTCGCTGGTACTTGTGCCAACGCCTTCGCCACCACCACCACCCGCGCCGGCACGGTCTTTATCCTCACTTGCGGTGCTTCCACCATCGCCGAGGGTGGTTTTGGAAAGCGCAGAAGAGAGCTGATCAGTCTCGTCCGGCTTTACCTCGTCGTCCACTCGGGTGGCCTCATCCTCGTTGGGGCGTGGCATGGCTGGTGTTGCAGCTTCTGCTTCGGCGCCGTCCGTGGCGCAGCTGGCTACTTTGCTCGATACCTCCTCGGCCTTGTCCCCCGGAGGCTGTCGCGTATCTGCGATCGAAGTCACGCCCGATTCTTCGTCTAGCTTGGCAAAACTCGTCTTCTTCAACTTCAGCAGCTCGTCCTGGCCCGCGTGCACATGAGCGAGGGAAGGGGGGAAGAGGGTCAGCTCACGGGGTCCGAGGGCCACAACCTCGCCCAGCCCTCCCGACTCGACTCGACTCGACTCGACTCACCTCCCAACCGAGAGCCCTGGCGAGCAGCAGCACCCCCTCGTCGGCCTTGCCGCCCCAGAAGACGTCGCGCGTCCGGTGCCGCCCGCCCACCGTGAGTCCATCGAAATCAAACCCGCTCTCGTTCATCCGCCCGCCCATGCCGCCGCCGTGGGTGTCGTAGCCGGCCAGCTCTCCGACCCGTTCCAGGTTGATCAGGACGCGCGGGCAGTGCGAGGGGACGGCGTCGATGAGCGAGGCGAACGGTTGGACCTGTCAGTCATGCGACGAGGGCCGAAGCGAGGGTCAGCCACAGGTGCCGACGCCACACCAGCAGGGGCTGCTTTTTCTTCTCGTCCTCACCTGCAACGACGTGCCCACGACAATGAGCAGGTCGGCCGAGCGGAGGTCGCGTATCCGCTTAAAGAATCGGTCAGGCAGCCCCTCGCCAAAGACTGCGTTGGGACGGGTCCGAGGCGGGTGCAGAGAGAGCGGCAGGGAGCAGCGACGGAAGATAAGCACATCAGCTGACGCCCAGAGGTCGCGCAGGGAACACTCGCACGACGAGCACCCACAGACAATGTCGGGCTTGACGAGCCCGGGACTGCCCCGCTTGCGACAGGCTTTTGCCTCGCACCGGGCGATCTGTCCGGCCATGACCTTGGCCCTCATCCAATCGGGCTCGACCTGGGTGCGGCATTTGATGCAGGCGGCCGAGGCAAACGAGCCATGCGCCTCGACGATGCGGTCGGCGGGCAGCCCAGCGATGCGCTCGAGGGTGTCGACTGGCGTTACGCCAGAGGGCGAGGGTGGAGTCGGAGGCGGCGGTGGTACACTCGGGTCAGAAAGACGAGCGGGGGGCGTCGTTGGTCACTCTCAACTGGCAGCCCGGCCGTAAACTCACCATTCTGGGTGAAGACAGTTCCGAGCTTTCCATGCGTATGGAGCAGGGAGAAAAAGTAGTGGGTCAGGCTGGGCTTGAAGTTGCCCGGGTAGAGCTCCTTTGCGAGGGTGAAAAAGGGCTGGGGCTTTTGCTGAAAGTATTCGATGTCGAAGATGGCCTCTGGGTAGGGGAGACTGTACTTTGCGAGGTTGTCGTAGAGACCAGTTGCGGGCGTGCGAAAGTCGGGGATGGGGGGCGTGGCCGAGGTCGAGATGCCTGCGCCGGCGAGGACCATGACCTTGCGGGCTGGCGAAGAAGGTGGCCAGAGGAGAGGGAAGAGAGGGGATAGTCAGTAGTTGGGCCAGCTGGGAGCGTGGCGAGGCTGGGGCTGGAGCTGGGGCTGGGGCTGGGGCTGGGGCTGCTGCTCACTTGCTGGGTGCTTGATGAGGTTTGCGACGCCGTCGAGCGTGGGACCGCCGCCATGGCGAAAGAAGGGGTTGTTGTGGTTGTCGGTGGCCGATGGTGGCCGAGAAGAGGAGGACGAGGGTGGGCTGCTTGACATCTGGAAGAGGCGTGTGAGGTTGTGGATGATGGATCTTGCGGTGATGGGCATGCGATGGTGGCAGTCGGGTCGGTCGAGGGCGCGATGGTGGTACGAAGCCAGCCCGCGCAGAGTGGAGGAGCGGGGAGCGGGCAGAGGGGAGCGGGATGCGGGTTGCGGGATGCGGGGCAGCGACAAAGCCCGCCGTCTGCCGGCCAAAGGTGCGATCAAGACGCCGGCTCCGCACTCGACGCCGCCGGGGGGCCCAACAGCGGGCAACAGCGGGCGACAGCGGGCGGACCCTTTGGCAAGCGGGAGGGCGGGCACGCCTTCTTCTTCTCGCCCACCACCACCACCCTCACCCTCCCCCGCCCCCTCTCGCCACTATCGCCGCACCGCTCCCATGGCCGACACAGTCACCTACCGCGACATCCAGGCCGCCCACGCCCGCGTCGCCCCCTTCACCCACTATACCCCTCTCCTCACCTGCCAGTCCATCGACCACTTCGCCACCGATGCCCTCTTCCCCCTCGCCGACGACGCCAAAGCAGCGGGCGAGCAGCGCCGACCCATGGTCCGCCTCGCCTTCAAGGCAGAGCACCTCCAGCGCGTAGGCGCCTTCAAGTACCGCGGTGCCACAAACGCCGTCCTGTCCCACCTCGACGCCCTCAAGGCACAGCACCCCGACACCTCAACCTCGCCCTTTGACCCCTCCAGGCTCGTCGTCGTCACCCACTCGAGCGGAAATCACGCGGCTGCCCTCGCCTGCGCAGCAAGGACCGCAGGCGCCATCGCAGCCGTCGTCATGCCCGAAAACGCTCCCAGGCCAAAGCTCCACGCCGTACAGGGCTACGGCGCACGAATCACCCTCTGCAAGCCCACCCTCCAGGCCAGAGAGGAGACGGCCGCAAAGCTCATGGCACAGTACGACCAACAGGGATACACCGTCCGCTTCGTCCACCCCTTCGACGAGCCCCTCGTCATCGCGGGTCAGGGCACCATGGCTCTCGAGATGCTCGACCAGGCTCCCAGCCTCGAGCAGCGCGGCGCCTGCTCGGCTGCCGCCGCCGCCGGCCCTCGGCCTGCGCACGCGTCCAACGGCTCCTCGTCATCGACCCCGTCCAGGACGCTGCACGGCTCCCGAGGCGTCGAATCGGCGGGTCCCAAGCAGGACGGCCTCTGGAAGCCGAGGCGGCCGGACGAGCCCGTGTTCGACATTGTCATCGCACCCGTCGGCGGGGGAGGCATGCTGAGCGGCGTGTCGACGGCCATCAAGGGCGGCGACGACCGCATCGTCGTCATCGGCGCAGAGCCAGACTGTGAGTAGTCGACGGTCCACACGAGCAGCCCCACGCTCCAATCGTACGGCCCGGGCTGACACCCGGTCTGGCAACGCGCTGCTCTCTCTCTCCCTCGCCCCGTGTCCCTCTCCAATCCCTCCCCTCTTCCCCTTCCCCCCCGAGCTGCCGCTGCAGTGGTCAACGACGCCTTCCACTCGGTCCAGACGCAGACGGTGCAGCAACCGCCGCAGCCGCCGCGGACCATCTGCGACGGCCTGCTCACGTCGCTGTCGCCGCTGACGCTGGCCCACATTGGCAAGCACGTCGACACGATTTCGACGGCGCGCGAGGAGAATGTGCTGATCGCGCTCAAGCACCACTGGGAGCGGCAAAAGCAGCTCGTCGAGCCCAGCGCCGCCGTCGGGCTGGCCACGGTGCTGCAGGGCTTCAACCAGGCGGGGCGCGTGGCCCAGGACGCCCTCGACCAGCCGGACCCGGCCGACCAGAGGTGCTGGGGCGTCAAGCAGTGGGTCGACGAGATCCTGGCGCGGCGGAGGCGTGCGGGCCAGGACGACGACGAGATCCGGATCGGCATCGTGTGGAGCGGCGGCAACGTCGAGGTGGCAAAGGTGCTGGCGCGGTTCGACGAGCACGGCATTCTCTGAGGGAGGAAGCGCGACGCACGCGAAGCGGTGCGGCAGTCGACTGTCGCGCGGATGCAGAATCAGATGCGCGAGAATAGACGCTGGCAGCCGCCACAGGCGGGGTCGAGGAGGTGCATAGACCACATTCTATTGCTGCGGGGCTCGGCTCGAATGCTCTGGGAGCCCGGTGCCGTGTCGACAGCCCGCGCGAACTAGGGCGGCAGGGCATCATCGCTTTCCGGCCTTGATGTCTTCGAGCTGCTGCTTCCAGGACTCGAACAGCTCAATGCTGCGTGGGTCGTACGGCCGGCAAGGATGTAGAAGGGGAGAGGAAAGGGGGGACCTCGGTGCGTCAGCATGGGATGGGAAAGCCAGGCAGCCGGGACGATGGGGGAAGGCGCGGCGCAGACGCACCCCTGTTTTCCCTTTGCAAAGTCGCCCTCCTTTCCGAGAGTGTTTTTCTCTGCCTGGAAGAGGCCGATGATTTCGTCGAGGCTGGTTTCGAGGCGGGTGAGGGCCTCTCGGAGCGCGTAGGGGTTCTCGATGGCGTGGAAGATGGTCGAGGCCGGTTGGTGCACCTCGCGGGGCTCCGGGTCGGCTGTTGGGCGGGCAGAGGAAGAGAGCAAGAGCGGGGCAGATGGGCGTCAGAGGGAAGGGGTGTCAGGCCACAGACGAGGACGGCAGTGAAGAGCGAGCGGGGTACGTACGCTGTCGCGTGTCCCTGGGAAAGGCGCCGGCCGGGTTCTCTGCGGACACGCCCGGTCCGCGGAACTCGGTCGTCTGGCCCGGGTACTTGCTGCAAGGGCAGAGTCAAGGGAGGCAAGGGGTCGGGAATGTCAGTACAGGGAGCGTCGCACCGGCGCGCCTGGCTGCCACGGTTGGGTGGGTGCTACACTGGGCGACTCACGCCTCGTTCTGGAATGCGACGTTGGGCGTTCCCTCTTGGTCGGCCATGGTGGGCGGTGGGCGAGGAGGTGGGAGTGTGAGTGTGAGAGTGCGAGTGCGAGTGCGAGTGCGAGTGCGAGTGCGTGTGCGTGTGCGTGTGTGCAGTGGGCAGGCCGATATAGGCTGTTTTTCGAAAGCGACGATGGCGACGGTGGTGGTGAAGAAGAAGAAGAAGGAGAAGAGAGGGTGTGGGCCAGGCTGACTACGAGGCGAGCGTCGGACTCAACTGGGCTGCCGCTGCTGATGACGCCGGCGTGCGTGCGTGCGTGGTTGCGAGCCGTTGCGTTGTGGGGCTGCCTGCCTCCACCTTGGGTCTGCCCCGATTCGCAGCACCGTCTGCTTGCCCCGATCGATGGCTTCGGACAGGCCCCGCCAGGCCCTGACTCGGGCCCGACTCGGCCCCCGCGGTCCGGAAGAAAGCAGGTCAGCCTGGCGGATGCAGGCGCCGTCCGTGCGCGACTTGGTCCTCCTCGCCCTCCTCCTCCTCTGCCTCCTCGCCACCACCACCATCACCACTACCGTCACCCGGCTCGGCTCAGACTCTTGCCAAAATGGGCGCGCCTATGTAAGTTCGAGTCTCGACATGATTCGCGCCCACCTGCTCGCTCACCTCCTCCCCACTCGCCCTCACCCTCACCCTCACCCTGCCCCACCCTCACCCCCACCCCGCAGCACCGTCTCGACCTGCTCCCTCAACCAGTGGGCGCTCGACTTTGACGGGAACAAGCAGCGCATCCTCGAGTCCATCGCCCTCGCAAAGCATGCCGGTTCCACCCTCCGCGTCGGCCCAGAGCTCGAGATCCCCGGCTACGGCTGCTTTGACCACTTTCTCGAGCCCGACACCGTCCTCCACTCCTGGCAGGTCCTCGCAGAGATCCTCGCATCCGACGCCACAGACGGCATCCTCTGCGACCTCGGCATGCCCGTCCTCCACCGCTCCACCCTCTACAACTGCCGCATCCTCGTCCTCAACCGCCGCATCCTCCACATCCGCCCAAAAATGTGGCTCGCAAACGACGGAAACTACAGAGAGATGCGCTACTTTACCCCCTGGTCCAGGCGCGGCGAGACCGACGCCTACACCGTCCCCAGCTTCGTCGAAAAAGTCTGCGGACAGCACGACGTCCCCTTTGGCGACGCAGTCGTAAGCACCCGCGACACCGTCATCGGCGTAGAGCTCTGCGAGGAGCTCTTTACCCCGGACAGGTGAGCAGGCGGGGCTCCTCCTTGCCACGGGCGACGGGCGACGGACCGAGGTCTGACCGCACCCGATGACTTCCCATCGCCCTCATCCCCTCTGCAGCCCGCACATTGCCATGGGACTCGACGGCGTCGAAATCTTTACCAACTCGAGCGCGAGCCACCACGAGCTGCGCAAGCTCTACCGCCGCGTCGAGCTCATCAAGGAGGCCACGCTCAAGGTGCGCCACGTCCCTTGGGGCCCTCTCGCTCTCCTCTCCTCTCCTCACCGATCCTGACCCGGCACCGCTATCTGACCGGACCCAATCTGCCTCCCCGCTCCGATCGCCGCGCCCACGCCCAGCTCGGAGGCATCTATCTCTACGCAAACCAGCAGGGCTGCGACGGCGACCGGCTCTACTACGACGGCTGCCCGCTCATCGCCGTCAACGGCGCCATCGTCGCCCAGGGCTCGCAGTTCTCGCTCGACGACGTGCAGGTGGTCAGCGCCACGGTCGACCTCGACGATGTCCGCGCCCACCGCGCCGCAAAGAGCCGCGGCATGCAGGCCGCCGTCCAGCGCGGCGGCCCAGAGTGGGGCAACGGCCAGAGCCGCGGCTACCGCCGCATCCCCGCCGACATCGAAATGGGACGCTCGCAGGAGTTTGGCTCCGAGACGCCCAGGACGCTGGCCAGGCAGCTGGTGCTCAAGGCCACCTCAAAGCCCATCGAGGTCCGGTACCACACGCCCGAGGAGGAGATTGCGTGAGTGCCAATCGTCGTGGCGGCGGCAACGGGCCGGTATGCCCGACCTATCTGGGCCGATCCTTGGAACGACGGAGGACGTCGGCTGATACCTTCTCGACCCTCCCGGCCGCCTCGACAGCCTCGGCCCCGCCTGCTGGCTGTGGGACTACGTGCGCCGATCGCGTACCCAGGGCTACTTTATCCCGCTCTCGGGCGGCATCGACTCGTGCGCCACGGCCGTCATCGTGTTTAGCATGTGCCGGCTGGTCGTGGCGGCGTGCAACCAAGCCGACGAGCCAGACTCGGCCGCCGCCGCCGCCGCCGCCGGCGGCGGGCAGGGGCAGGAGGGCGTGCGCTTCCTCGCCACGCCGCCCATCCTCAAGACGCAGACCAAGCAGCAGGTGCTCGACGACGTGCGCCGGATCGCGGGCGAAAAGGAGGGCTCCACCTGGGTCCCGCAGACGCCGCAAGAGGTGGCCAACCGGATCTTTGTGACGTGCTACATGGGCACCGAGAACTCGAGCGCCGAGACGCGGGGACGCGCCAAGCAGCTGGCCGAGGACATTGGATCGTGGGTGTCGCCGGCGTCGCGTGGGTCGCCTCGCACTGAGCTGCCGTGGGACGTGGACGAGGCGGCCAAACACTGACACTGACACTCGCTGTTCTTTTCCGCCTGACAAACATGCGTTGCCTCCCGCCTTTCCGCGACCCGACGCGCAGCTACCACATCGACCTCAACATGGACATTGTGGTGCGGGCGATCCTGTCGCTCTTCACCATGGTGACGTCCAAGACGCCGCGGTTCAAGGTGCACGGCGGCTCGGCGGGCGAGAACCTGGCGCTGCAAAACATCCAGGCGCGCCTGCGCATGCTGCTAGCCTACATGTTTGCGCAGCTGGTGCCGTGGGTGCGCGGCGGGTGGGGCGGCCTGCTGGTGCTGGGCAGCGCCAACGTCGACGAGAGGTGAGTGGGCGAGCGGGCGAGCGGCGGGCGAGTGCTTCGTCCAACGACGGCGGTCACCCCCCATGGAGTCACAGGCAAGGCGAGCTGACACGGGCGGCCGCCACTCGATCCTCGCACCCGTTCCTGCCCGACACCCCCTGCGCTTGACCACCGGCGATCAGCCTGCGAGGCTACCTGACCAAGTACGACTGCTCTTCGGCCGACGTCAACCCGATTGGCGGCATCTCCAAGACGGACCTGAAGCGCTTCATCGCGTACGCGCGCGACGCATTCGAGCTGCCGGTGCTGCACGACTTCCTCACTGCCGTGCCCACGGCCGAGCTCGAGCCCATCACAAAGGAATACGTCCAGGCCGACGAGGTGAGTGGCCCCCCTCTCGTCGCCTCGCCTCGCCTCGCCTCGCCTTGCCCTCGAGCCGGGGGGGTCGACACTGACACTCCCATGTCCCCTTCTGGCGCTGCCGACCAGGCCGACATGGGGATGACGTACGACGAGCTGTCCATCTTTGGGCGGCTGCGCAAGGTGGGCAAGTGCGGGCCGTACGGCATGTTTAACAAGCTGCTGCTCGAGTGGGGCCCGACGATGGAGCCGGCGCGCATCGCGGAAAAGGTCAAGCTCTTCTTTTTCGAGTACGCGCGCAACCGCCACAAGATGACGACGCTGACGCCGAGCTACCATGCGGTGAGTCCATTGCGGCGCAATACGAACTGGCGCAGTGCAGTGCAGTGCAGTGCAGTGCGGGTTCAACTGACGAGTCGATCGGGTCGTGGTCTTCCCCTTATCCGTCGCTCGCTCGCTCCTTGTGCGATGTCGCTGGGATGGGCGGAGCAGGAGTCGTACAGCCCCGATGACAACCGTGAGTCGAGGGCGAAAGCTGAGGGGGCAACGTGTCGATGCAACCTGTGCTGACCTGCCCACTCGGCCCTTGTGGCCCTCTGTCTGTGTGCGAACAACGTGGCAGGCTTTGACCTGCGCCCGTTCCTGTACCCGAGCCGGTTCCCGTTCCAGTTCCGCAAGATTGACGAGCTGGTCGAGCAGCTGCAGTACACGCCGTCGTCGTAGAGGTCCATAAGGTATTTGTCCACGATCATCTCGGCCTGTACGCACCCCACGGCCGAGCCGAGCCGGGCCGGGCCGGTGCACCTCTTGTACTAAGAAGCTAGAAGTGCCTAAACGGAATGCGATCCCTATCCTGTCGCAGTCGCACAATCTCGTCGCTATCCTCGTGCGGGACGGGGACGCGGGCGTGGGTATCGAGGAAGCTCTGCCTGAGACGCGTGTACCGCTCGTCTGCGAGGATGTCATCGAGGTAGCGCCGAAAGATGCGCGCGCTCTCGACCTTGTCCGGATCCTGGTCCGGCGGCGCTAGACGGTCGAGCTGCCCGCGTGAATGGTCGGCCGGATCGCGGTACTTTCTCCCGCCGCGGTGGTTGGCGTAACGTCTGGAGCGGGTATATCCCATCTGGATGAACTTGCGCGCCATGTCGCCTGGTCACGCGCGCGCGCGCGCGCTCCCTCGTATCGTCGTCAGCGCGGTTGATCGGATCGGGCAGTCACCGGGTGGGGCCCACAGCACGCCACGCCGCCACCGGGCACTCGCTGCACTCACAACCCACAAAATCGCCCTGGTCGAGGTAGACTTCAAACATCCCTCGGATCTTTTCGGCGCTGCACTGCGCCCGCTGTGGCGTCTTGAAGGTCCAGTGCGGCAGTATCTCATCCTTGTACGGCCGTACCTGCAGAACACCCTGCTCGCCCACCCCCGGTCGGTAGAGGTGCGGGTGCGCGCGAAGGTCGAGCTGCGACAGCGGAAGGTGATACGGAAACTTGTTGGACTGCCGCGTCTTTGTCGTCGGAGTCGTCGAGGTAGTTGACGGCTTGGTCCTTTTGCGCGGCGGCTTGGGATCGTCGTCGTCGTCGTCGTTGGCGTTGGCGTTGTCGGTGTCGGCTTTGCTGGGCTGTGGGGTGGATGATGATGCCGTCGTCTTGGCTTGGTTGCGACGGGTGCGGGTGTCGCCCTTGGCCGCGGCAGTGGCCGTGGTGGCGTGCGCGGGGAGACGCGACTGGGAGCGGGTAGTGACCATGGTCAAGATGGGCAGCAATCTCGGCATGGATGGAGAGGCGATCGTGGATGGTGGATCCAAGTGTCGATCTGGGATGACGGCCAGGGATGACGATGTGGAGCAACAAGGGGGCGTCGAGGACGGACAACGACGGCCGATTTGGTCCGATGTCATCGTTGGGTGGTGGGGTGGGGTCGAAGCGTCGACGCGGTCAGCATGCCATCGTCGTCTTCCTTTCTTCCGCATCACATCGACTGCAAAGGTGGGGATACTCGTCGCCACCACTCTGCCACGCCTCGCCACGCCTCGCCACGCTACGCTACGCACCGCAACGATAGATTCGGGTCCGCAGGTCGGACCATCCCCTCCTCGAGCTCCATCGGCCTCTACATCGCCCGCAAACGACCAATGACGAACCAGGCACGATCCCGACATCGATCTCAGCTCCACACTAAACCTGCCAGCCACGACGACCGACGCAGCGACGAATCCGCGCCCCTCCTAACCAACCACGGTGCCGCCAATCGAATCCGCGACGACTATGGTGCCGCCTCCAGCGCGCCCAGTGGCGAGGATGTCCGCGACGACGACGACGACGCCGACGCCGGCGACGGCAACGACAACGCCATCGAGCACGAGATGCTCCAGCGCAAGCGCGCTCAGCCTACGCCTCTTCCCTGGCTACAGCTCTCGGTCCTCTGCCTGATGCGCATGACGGAACGTGAGCACCAGCTCCCTCGCTCCTCACCCCTCGCCCTCGATGCCCGCCAGAGGGGTTTTACCATCGTCGTGCTAATCACCCTTCCCATCTCCCTTTTCCTCCTCGACCCACCCCCACGCCAGCCATCTCGTTCACCGTCATCTTCCCCTTTGTCACGCAGATGCTCCACGAGAACCTGCCCGACGTGGCGCCAGAGCGGCTGGGCTACTACGCCGGCCTGGTCGAGTCCACCTTTGCCTTTGTCCAGTTCCTCACCATCCTCTTCTGGTGCCGCCTCTCGGACGCCATCGGACGCAAGCCAGTGCTCCTCGTCGGTCTGCTCGGCTCCTTTCTCTCGGTCAACTGCTTCGGCCTCTCGCGCTCCTTTGCGCAGATGGTCCTCGCCCGCTCCATCCTGGGCCTCATGAACGGCAACATCGCCGTCATCAAGAGCATGCTCGCCGAAATCACCGACGACTCGAACCAGGCCCGCGCCTTTGCCCTCCTCCCCATGTGCTTCGCCGCGGGCAGCGTCGTCGGCCCCACCCTCGGCGGCTGGCTGGCCCACCCCGTCGAGACCTTCCCGGCCGTCTTTGGCGGTTCCGCCTTCCTCGAGACGCATCCCTTCTGGCTGCCCTGCGCCGTCGCCGCCTTTCTCAACCTCCTCGCCATCCTCCTCGGCTTCCTCTGCCTCGACGAGACGCTGCCCAGAAAGGAACGCAAGTCGATCCTGCCCGAATGTCTGCGCCGCCGTCGTCGTCATCGTCGCAGCCGAGCCGACAGCAGCGACAACGACGACGGCCACCGAGACCCGGAATCGCACCCCTCGTCGTCGTCGTCGTCGTCATCGTCCGGCGCGAAACCGACGCTGCGCAGCCTGATGACCAAGCAGGTGTCGCGCGTGCTGGGCACGCAGTTCTGCCTCAACTTCCTCAACGCGTGCTACGCCGCCATCCTGCCGCTGTTTTGCTACGAGACGGTGCGCCACGGCGGTCTGGGCTGGTCCAACGTCGACATCGGCACCTTTCTCGCCTTCAACGGCGTCGTCGGTGTCGTCAACCAGGTGCTGTTTTTCCCGTGGCTCGAGAGGAGGTGGGGCTCGCCCATGCTCGTCTACCGCCGCGTCACGGTCGTCTTCCCGCTCGTCTTTGTCGCGCTCCCGCTCGCCCACGCCGTCGCGGGCGCCTACCCGGGTCGCGGGTGGCCGCCCGTCGTCGTCATGGCGTGCGGTACCCTCGTCAAGTCGTTTGCCAACATGTCGATCGGTACGTCCCGCGCTCGCCGCCTCGATCGACCCACGATGATCCCCATCTCATCCCTTTCTCACCTCCCCTTGGCTCCTCTCGCCTCCCTCCGCTCCCCTCGCAGTCTGCTCCGTGATCCTCGTCAACAACACGGCACCTTCGCGCCAGTCGCTGGGGACGCTCAACGGCGTCTCGCAGATGTTTGGCTGCCTGAGCCGCACCATTGGTCCGACGGTCTCGACGAGCCTGTTTGCATTCAGCATCTCGAACCGGCGCATCCTCGACGGCCAGCTCGTCTGGATCTGCCTCGTCCTCTTTGCCACCGCAACCTGGTACCTCACCACCCTCGTACAGGCCCCCACCGTCGCCGCTTGGAGGGTCAGGGAACAGAGGAAACGCGCCGGTCAAGACGAAGGAGACGGCCACGACGTCGGGAGTGGGCGGAAGTGAGCCGGCGTCGAGACCGTACCGGTATGGCCTAGATTAGCTAGCCTAGTCAGTCAGTCAGTCAGTGTGTCGAATACCATAGATGATTGATGTCGTCTTTCAGAGAAGCCATGTCGACCACGGCTGTGTGTGCTGGACGAGTGCCTGGCTCAAACAGGGTACGGGGTCAGCGTGATTCGCTCGTCTGGACTCTTGCAGATGGGATGAGGGTTGGGAGGTACAGTATCCTGTTTGACAGCGGGGCTCAAGGTTTTCAGACAAGTTGAGATGAGAATCATCCTCTGACTGACCTGAGAGGAGAACCAAACCCCCCGCTCTCTCCCACCTCGATCTTGCTGTAGAAACTAGGACGACGTCGCTGTGCCGCACAATAGGGGTAGGATGCTGCATCGTCGACCGTCCCAAACCATCACGGGCGGATGCGGGCCCAAGCCAGCAGCAACCCGGGAGCTGCCCAACCTATATCCCCCGCAGGCGCCAGATAGACGAAACGATCCGACGAGTCGCAGTCGCAGCTACAGTACCCACACATCGTACACGCGGTCCCCAACACTGCCGAGGTTGGTCAAATCTGGCGAGATTGGGCTCGATGCATCGATGGGAATGGTACAACGACTACCAACGACTACGACTACGACTGCGACGACGACGGCTTGGCGGCACCGGCGGCGCCGCTGCCGCCGCCGAGCCAGTGCTGCGGAAAGTCGCGCAGCTTGGGCTTGTCCTTGCGGGCGTAGGTGCGCTTCTTTGCCTCGCGCACCAGGTCCGGTCTGGGGTCAATGGGGATCGACGAGAGGTCCGGTTGCGGCGCCTGCGTGGTGGTGGTAGTAGGAAGACGGTGTGCAGAGTGACGGCCGTTAGCACGAGGAAGAGGGGGGACACTCGAAGATGGGGCAGCGACTGGGCCGGCGGGGGCGGGAACGCAACAGGCCGGGGACGACTCACGTTTGCCTCTGCGAGGAGCTTGTCAAACGTGTCGCTGCACCACTTCATGTTCTGCCTCTCGTTGGGCATCCGCTCGCAGCTGATGACAATCTCGCCCTCGATGTCCTCGAGCCGCTCGGTGCCGTCCGGCCCGGCCAGGGAGACGGGGCGGGAGCGGTGGAGGCGCTGGCCGGCGAGGACGAGGAACTTGTGCTTGGCCGCCTCGGTCTTGAGGTGTCCCGAGGCGAAGAGGGCCTGGACCGAGACGTACAGCACGACCTTGCGCGATGCCGGGTGCGCCTCGCCCTGGTAGTGCTGGAAGCGGAAGCGGAGGAGCTGCGAGGGCGTTGGTGGCTTATACGGCTGTCGAAGGGCTAGTGGGGCGAGCCGGGCAGGTAGTGGGAAGCATCAGATGGGCAGTCAGATGGGCAAGGACGCAGGTCAGGTGTCAGCGAAGAGGCAAAGAGGAGCTGCCGGATCGATCTCGCCGCCGCCGACATGCCTCACCTTCGAGCTTGGGCATTTCGAATTCAATGGTGCGGAGGTACTTGAGCATCTGCCTTCGTCGCTGGAGGATCTGGTGTCCGAGGGTGGGCACGTCGTCGTAGTTGAACTTTGGCGTCTTGTCGAGCTCCATGGGGTCGTCTGCGCCCTCTCTCCCCCTCCGCGCCTCCTTTGCCGCGACGGTGCACGCAGAGAAGCATCGAGAGGATCCGGCGATCGCCGTTGTTGCCGAGCTTGCTGCAGAGGAGGGGGCGCGAAGGGCAGCGCGGGCCAGACGCATGGTCGATGTGGTCGGCAGGGACATGATGGCGGATGAGTGCAGGCCGGCGACAGGATCTGCGAGGAGGTTGAGAGCCGTCTGCTAGGGGATGATGAGCGCGCGGCGAAGTCGTGTCGCAGTCGCCGTGGTCGTCGTCTGTTTGGCGGAGGAGGAAGGCAGAGAGGGTGCGACGGTGATGATGATGGCGGCGAGACGAGGCGTGAGGGCAAGGCCGAGGGCGGCCCTTTTTTCCCCGCCCGCCGACCCCCCTTTGGCCCGCGGGCTTCTTCGCGCACATTCGGATCCGACCCAAAAGCCACGAGGTTTGCGGATCTCGGCCAGCGTCGGCGGGCAGCGAACCCCCTTGCTCCGCACTACTACTTTCTGTTTTCTTCTCGCCATCCGTTCCCCGCCGCTCTGCTACCATTCTCTCATCTCGCTCCTCGCAACTGCCCTGCCTAGGCCCCCCTCCGAAGTGCCTTTCGCGGCCATGGAACCGTCGCAAGTTCAAATACCAATACCGGCGACGGCGCCGGCCGAGACAGCCACGCCTGCCGCCGGTCCATCGGACGTCGCGCGTGGCACCACTGCCTCAACCACCTCGACTCCCGCTGCCGCTCCATCACAGACTGAGCCGCCATCCTCTCCGCCTTCGACCATCGCCGCCGCCGCCGAATCGCAGCACCTCATCGTCCTTTGCGGTCTGATCGGCTCTGGCAAGTCGACGTTTGCGCTGTCGCTCCAATCGCTGCTGCCCAACTGGGTGCGCTGCAATCAAGACGTGCTGGGCAGCCGCGAGGCCGTCGCCGTGCTGGCGTGGCGCTCGCTGGCAAACGGGCAGAACGTCATCATCGACCGCACCAACGTCGACGTTCGCCAGCGGCGCACCTGGCTCCAGCTCGGCCGCGACATTCTCGGCTCGCTGCCGCCCGGCCGGCAGCTGATCGTCTCTTCGGTCACGTTTACCACGCCGTTTGACGAGTGCGAGCGCAGGCTGAGGGCGAGGACGGACCACGAGACGCTGCACGACCCTCAGCAGGCCGTCGAGGTGCTCCACCGCTTCTGCAGCACCTACACTGCGCCGCGCATCCACGAGGGCTTCCACTGCTGCATCGAGGTGGCGCCGCACGACCTGGACCTGCAACCGACGCGCGAGCAGGTCGAGGGCGTGGTGCGTCGGATCGAGGCGTGCGAAAAGGCGAGCGGCGCGCTGCCGGACGACGTGCGCGGGTACGGGTGGGGTGATGCGTCTTCGGGTCGGGGCAGAGGTACGGGCAGGGGCAGGGGTGGATTCAGAGGCAGCCGGAGTAGCGTGGGTCAGAGCGCCCTCTACGCTCCCCACGGCCAGGCGACGACGACGAACGGCGGCGGGGCCGAAGGAAGGGATGCGGTGCCAACCGCGTTTCGGGGCGGGCCGGCGTGGGGAGCGAGGGGCGGACCCAGGCCGAGACCGCCAAGGCAGATGCAGCCGGACGACTATGACCGCACGTCGGGTGTGCCGCCATGGCGCCAGGAGCAGCCGTCAAGGTGGCTATCGCCTCGGCCGGTCGAGGGTGTGCAGCAGCCGCTGCAGCAACAGGCAGGAGGCGCCGCGATGCAAGGGTTTTCAGCGGCGGTGGGTCGTGGAGTGTCCGCGGCGCATCCTCCTCCTCGGCCACCTATGGCGCCTGCAGCAACAGCAGCCTCACCGCCGCCATAGCGATGCCAGAAGCTGGAAGCGCAATGAAGGGCAGGGGGGCAAGGTGGGGGCGTCGCCTGGACGGTCGGCGATCGCTGCTATGTATCCGCCAATCAACGACGGTTGTGGATCGGGGCGAGTGAGAGATGCAAGACGATGGTGGCGGCGATGTAAGATAGGATACCCCGCACGGCGAATGGCGACGAGCAAAGGGAGCGTGGTGGTCGCGTGTGATGGCTGCGAGGGTGGCCCAGCGTCAGACGCACGAGGGCAAGGCAAGGCTGCCTTGCCTGCCTCCACTTCTCTGGTGGGGCCAGCCGCACGGTCCAGCCCACCAGGACAGGTCAGACCAGCCTCGCCCGATGATGGCCGGCTGCGTCCGAGTTGTGAATCGGTCCAGTTGGACCCGCCTCCGTTTGGCCGGCCTGCGTCTCGGCACCATCTACCCATCATCCAACCACCATCACCCTGCCTGCCTGCCTGCCTCGTCCCATCTGCCCACCCGCTCTCCGACAAGGTCGCCTCTGCATGTCGTGCATCCCGCGCCTCACCCTCCTCCGCCGCTGCATCCCCAAAGCCGCCACCGTTAGCACGCTCCCCATCGCAACTGCACGCCGCGTCCCTCGTAGCTTCGCATCCCCTCGACACCTGCACACCACCGCCCCACTCCGCCTCAACACCCCACCAGCAGCAACCACCATGTCGGCCGTCTTCAACACCACCCGGCTGCACAACAAGACGGTGCTCGTCACGGGCGCATCCGGCGGCATCGGCAAGTCGACGGCCATCCTCTTTGCGCGCGCCGGCTGCAACGTCGTCCTCACCGCCCGCCGCGCAGACGCCCTCGCCGCCGCCGCACAGCAGTGCGCAGACGCCAACCGCGCCGGCCAGTCGGGCGCCGGCGGCAACTTTGCCGCAATCACGCTCGACATGGCCGACCGTGCCCAGCTCGACGGCCTCCTCGGCCAGCTGCCCGACTGGGCTAGGAACGTCGACATCCTCGTCAACAACGCCGGCCTCGTACTCGGCACCGACAAGGTCGGCGACATCGACCCGGACGAGATCGACGTCATGCTCAACACCAACGTCAGGGGCCTCATCCACCTCTCCCAGATCTTTGTCCGAGGTGAGTGGCGGGGCGGCACCCAGTGAGGCGCGCCTCGACGTGCTGTGGCTGATTGTCGCCGGTGTCCCCCCCTCGACCCCTGCAGAGTTCAAGAAGCGCCAGAGCGGACACATCATCAACCTCGGCTCCATTGCTGGGCGAGAGGGCTACCCGGGTGGCAGCATCTACTGCGCCACCAAGTTTGCCGTCAACGCCTTCACCTCGGCGCTCCTAAAGGAGCTCGTCGACACGCCCGTGAGCATGCCCTCCTCGTCCAGCCCTTCCATCGCTTGGCCTCCCCATCCGCTCATCCGCCCACTCACCCCCGTCCCTCTGCTTGAACCTGCCCCGGCCGGCGACACAGATCCGAGTGACCGAGATCCAGCCCGGAATGGTCGAGACCGACTTTTCCGTGACGCGCTTCCGGGGCGACAAGTCGGCCGCCGACCAGGTCTACGCCGGCCTGCAGCCCCTGACGCCCGACGACATCGCCGAGGAAATCGTCTGGGCCGCCTCGCGCCCGCCCCACGTCAACATTGCCGAGTCGCTCGTCTTCCCCGTCAACCAGGCCAGCCCGTACCACTCGTACCGCGGCGGCGCGGCTGGTGGCGCTGCGAAGAAGTAGGTGCGCAAGGGCCAAGGAGCATCCGAGAAGAGGGATGAAGGATGGTGTATCGTCGGCGGCAGTCTCGGTCGGATTGATGGATGGAGGGAGATGGAATATGAAATGGCTGCGCCTGCGTCATTCGTAGTCGACTGCATCCGATCCATCGTGGTCCGATACGCTCTGCTCGCCCTCGCCCTCGTCCGCGTCGTCGTCGTCGTCGTCGTGGTGCTGGACGCGACTCCAATTCCGACCCTGCTGTTGCGGTTGCGGTTGCGGTTGCGGTGATGAGGGAGGGGAGCGGTTCGAGAAGCGCAGTCTCAAGGACGGCGCCGATCTCTCCATCCCCTCTTCCTCCTCGTCCGTGGCCTCGTCCTCATCCTCATCCTCATCCTCTTCTGGCGGGTGACCCCACCCCGATGCGGGGGGTGGAACGAGGCCATGGAGACTCCTCCATCCTCGAACGCGATACGTTGCCCTTGTGCCCATACCACCACCACCGCCACCCATACCACCACCACCAACACCAACACCGCCACCGACAGCGGATCGGGAAGCGAGAAAGGGGAAGACGCGATCCCGTTCTTCCTGCAGGTAGACTCTTCGTGCCGTCTCGTACCCTATCCCATCACCCCTCCCCCCTTGCCCTTGCCCTTCCTCTTCTCCTTCGTCACCATCATCCTCATCCTCGTTCTCATCGGGGTGTTGCGTCTCGCCGAAAGGACGGAACCCTCTCCCCGCCGCCGCCGTCGAACCTGAACCTGAACCGACTCGAGGAGGGGGCAGCGAGAAGCCATATCGAACGCCATCGGACCGTCGTAGCGCCGCGTCTCGTCGCGATTCGGCTGCGAAGTCGCTTTCCCGCCGCCGCCGTCGTTGCTGCGTCGTCATCGAGTCGTCTCCGTCGCCGGTGACGGGATGAGGGGAGGGGACGGTGCGGGGCCGGGCATCGCGGCCCGTCGCTGTGCCCCAGACCCGCGCCGCGTGGCCGCGCACCTCGCGCGCGATACCGCCCAGCCGGTCCAGCGGGTCCGTCTCGCTCGTCCCGATCCGCCTCGCAAAGCCCGCGTCGGTATCCACGACCCTCTTCCTCTTCCTCTCCCTCTCCCTTCCACCGCTACCTCCCGCACCAGCGTCGATAGCAGCGACGGAAACATCGTCCGCGTCCCCCTCGCCGTCACCGTGCGGCACCTCATCGACGAGGCTCGCGGGAAACAGGTGCCGCGTCGCGGCCGTGACGCCCAGGTGGCGCGGCACGAGCTCCTCGAGCGCCAGGTCGGTCCATACCTCGCGCACGATCTTGGCCGAGGCGGGCAGACCGCCCAGCGAGGCGGCTGTGGCGGCCGAGGCGGGTCCGTCGCCGTGGATGTTGGACGAGGGCCGTAGCAGCGCCGCGTACGACGTCGGTCCCGGCCCGTACCGCCGAAAGGGCCATGTGGGCGGCGCTAGGACGGTAGAGGTCGAGGTGCGGAAGAGCAGGAGCGGTGATACGTTGAGCGCCTGGGCGGATGCGATGAGATCGGCGCGCTTCGTACGGCCCGGCGGCCCGGCGCCGGTGGCCAGGGCGCTCCCTCGGCCCGTGTAGAGGGGCGGAGGTGCGAGTCGACTCGATCCACCGCTCCCGCCGCCACCGCCACCACCACCGCCGGACTGACCCTCGAACAGCTCTTCGTCGGGATGTGCGGCGTGCGCAGACGACGACGACGACGACGACAGGGCCTCGGCGCCGTAGTCGAGCGCGGCGCCGCCGGTACCGACGAGCTTGGTCCTCGAAGCGCGGTTGATCGAGTCGTTCCAGCTGCTGGGCACCGCTCCCCTCCTGCCGCTGCCGCTCACGCCGAGGCCAGAGATGAGGTCGAGGCCGCCAAGTCGAGCGGGACCGCCGCTTGCGCCGAGGCCCGAGAGGCCGACGGAGCTGGCCCACGACGGCGCCTGTTGGCCCGCACCGGAGCCGTGGCCAAGGACGGCGCTGTCTGCCGTCAGGGTGCCGTCTGCTGGGCCAAAGAGGTTGCCGAACGGGTAGGAAGCGTGCTGTTCCGAGGGCAGCGTGTCGCCGTCGAGGTCGAGCGGGGCGGGTACGAGGTCCTCGTTGAGGGCAATGTACTCGTTTGCGATGCGGGGCTGGGGTATGGACGCCACACCGTCCCAGCCGCCAGCACCAGCGAGCGGTGCCGAGTCGTCGGCATCGTCGTCGTGGCCCGCACCTGCCGCCGCCGCACCGAGCCAGGCGGCCGAGGAAGGGTGTGCGGCCGAGTCGGAGAGGAAGTGGGATACGAGGCGGGTGAGCTGCGGATGGTGGTGGTAGGTGGATCCGAGCGCGAGGCCACCGGATCCGCCGAGGCCGAGGCCACCGTCGAGCAGATCCTGGTAGCGCGGATCCTGCGGGTCTAGGTAGAGGGGCGGGAACGAGGATGCGCCGGTACTGTGTGGGCCTACGGCTCGAGCGCGGTGGTGGCCGCCGCTACCCTCGCCATGTCGAGTGGTGGTGTGGTGCGCTGCGGAGGTGGGGTGGCGGATGGGGTCGCGATGTATGTGGGTGAAGTAGGTGTCGGACGACATGCGCGCTGGGGCGGGGAGGAAGAGGATCGAGAGGTGGTGGTGGTGGTGGTGGTGGCAAGGCGGAAAGGGAGGGAACGACAGCGTCGCGGCCCAACAAACACCAGAGTCGCCGCGGGGCCGCGTGTGGAGTTTTGGGCGGCGCACGCAAAGGCGGGCTGCAACCAACACCGCCGCCGTCGTCGTCGTCTGCGGGCCACCCAACACCACCACGCCAGCCCTGGCACCACCGCGTGAGGCATCGACAGCGGCGGCCGAGATACACGCCGCAGCACTGCCAGTGGGCAGCCTCATGCCTCATCATGCCGTTCCATTCCATCCCTAAGCGACGGTACGGCATCCCTCTATGAAGCAATACTCTCTGGCCGATCTCAGGTCACGAGTGGCTCTCAACCCCCTGCCCGCCTCTCACGCCGAGCTGCCCTACGACGACGGCGACGGCGACGAGCCACACACCACCTCTGCCGCGATGGCGACGTGGTCAGACGCACACACCCCCTTGCGCGGCACGCCCGGCTGAAGCGTCTCGGTCCGGTGCGTTCGCAGCAGCCTCGTCACTTGGGGGAAGCGAGCCTGCCTCGCCGTCGCCGTCGCCGTCGCCGTCGCCGTCGCCGTCGCTGCCTCGCCCTGCCCGCTCGATGCGTCGCCGGCCGTCGTAGGAAAGAGGAAGATGTAGTCTGATCGCAGGCAGGGACACGGATGGCAAGGAGGGCGGTCCATTGTCAGCACGGGCAACAAGAGGGTGTCTCTTCCAAAGACGACGACGCCGCCGCCGCCAAAGACGACACTCACCCAGCGTCAGCGAGAAGAGGCTCGAAAAGATCGTCCACATAGGCTCTCTCGATTCGCCCGTGTGCACATTGTCCTGCCCCTGTCTCCACGTCTCGTCGTCGTGTCGTTCTCGACCGCGGCTCTTGGTCTACGGGCGCGATCCCAGATGGCAGCCGAGGCAGGAGCGTCAGTGGGTGCCCTGACGGACCAAGGAAGCCAGGGAGAAGCGGCCCGCACTCACGCCGAAAAAGTTGTCGACCTCTTCTGGATCGCACAGCCGTCCGTAGTGGCTGCCGTACGAGCTCATTAGCCCCAGCCGACCGTTGCCCCGTGCCTGCTCCGCATCGCCGCCGCTCGTCGACGGCTGGGCCGGGCTACATCCAGGCAGCGGCCGCGAGAGGTCGTGGAGCTGCAGCAGCTCGTCGATCGTCAGCAGCCCGTCTTCTGGAGTCGCAGCGCGGCAGTTCTTGAGCATCTGGTCGTCCGCGCCGCCCTCTTCTCCCTCTTCTTCCTCCTCGTCGACGTCCCCTTCCTCGGCGTCTTGCTCTTCACCTTCGCCCCCGTCCCCTTCGCCGCCTTGCTCGGCAGCGGTCTTGTCGCTGTCGACCGCATCTGTCCCGCTCGCACCGGGAGCCGCCTGCGCCCGCTCGCGCTTGTCGTCGATGCTCTTGTGGACGACGGTCGAGTTGCGGATCTCCTGGATGCAGTGATCGGTGAGCGGCTTGCCCGTGAGGAGGTGGTAGGTGGCCGAGTGGGGCTGGTCGTTGAAGTCGCCCGCCAGCACGACGGTGGCCGTGCGCCACTCCTCGCCCAGCGACTGGCGGAACGCCTCGAGCCGCCGTACAAGGATGCCAGACTGCCGCGCCCGCTCATAGGCGTGCATCGGATGCCAGAAGAGGTGCGTCGTGGCCACAATGACGCCGGGAGCGGTCGAAGCGCCTCGCCGCTCGGCAAAGCGGAGCGCGACAAAGAGGCCGATGTTGCGAGTCACCCTCGAGCAGGCGGTGCGGCGACGCCCGCCGTCGGCCAGGTCGGGCTCGTAAACGCCTTCCTCGTCGAGGTCGACGAGCAGCTTGCGGTGTTCGGCCTCGCCAAACATGGCCTTGCGCCATGCGATCAAGAGGCCGTGCTGCTTGGTCCTGTAGCCCTTTTCGTAGACGTAGGCGAAGCCGTCGCGCTGCAGCGTCTCGCCGTGCACCTCGAGCCGGTCGACCTCCTGGAAGCAGCCCACGTCCCAGCCATGTCCGGTGCGGCTGGAGAGCTCGGCCGTCAGCCCGGCGGCACGGTCCTTGAACTTGAGGCAGTCGGAGCCGGGGAAGAGCTTGCGTCGCACCAGACCCTGGGCGAGGATGTTCCAGCTGAGAAACTTGACCTTGGGCCCGGGGTCGCCGTGGTTGCCGGTACCGTTGTCGCCGCCGCCTCGCTGCGGGGAAGCTACCTTGCCCCAGGACCGTGGGATGTAGAGCGTGTTTCCCTGCGAGTCGAGGTGTCCGCCTGCGACTCTGCCGTCCGCGTCGCCCGAGTCGAGGAGCGACTGCCGTATCGCCTCTTGCTTTGCGGCCTTGTCCTCTGCCTCTTTTTGCTTTTTGAGGGCGCGCGCGGCTCGTTTGGCCTCGATCTCCTCGGGAGAGGGGCGATTCGAACCCTTTGCCTTGGCCTTGGTGGCGGCGCTTGGCTGTGCGGCGTTGGATGCGACTTGTGCGGCTGGCTGCGCTGGGGCCGTCATGGTCATGGCTCTAGCCGAGGCAGGCAAGCGGCGGCAGAGGACGAGGAGGGGAGGGAGTGACCGAAGCAGGGGCGACAGAGTGAGGAGCGTCGGAGGGGGAGGAAAGGTGCGAGGGAAAGAGAGTGATTTGATGAGGACTGTGGTGGTGGCGGGCGGTCAAGAAGAAGAAGCTAAGAAGCAGCGACACTACTCTGATGGCCGGGCTGCGCGGGGTTGACTCCACTCCACAGGGCTGCTGCGCGCGCACAGACGCTCGACGTCGAATCCTGAACCCAAAGCCGCGCCCTCACCGTCTCTGCCTCAAACGGAGGCTGGCCTCTTGACCTACTTCTCCCATCTCGACCTCGAGTCAACCCACAGACAGCATCACACACACACACTCTCCCTCTGCGCCTCCGACTGTTCATCAACTGCTTGCGATGCCGACGCCGGGAAACAACATGGGGGCCATCTACGCCCCTGCCCAGACCGACCCCGCGCGCTACAGCTTTCCCTCCCCCTGCGGCGTGGCGCTCGGAAAGGGCACGCGGTCTTCGAGGCTCTGCCCATCCGTCTCTACTCGCTGGCTGTCCTGCTCCTCGGCATCGGCGTTGGCGGTGCGCGCTGGCGTGTGATCCTGCTCGTGGCTCTGGCCCTCGGGCGCGGCGCTGGGGAAAGGTACCCGCTCCTCGAGGCTCTCACCATCGACCTCGACACGGCTATTCTGCTCCTCGGCCTCGGCATTGGCCGTACGCGGCCGAGTGCGTTTCGCCCCTGCGCTCTGGCCCTCGGACGTAGCGCTGGGGAACGGCACCCGATCTTGCAGGCTCTGGCCGTCAGTCTCGACGCGACGGCTGTCCTGCTCCTCGGCATCAGCGTTGGCGGTGCGCGGCGGCGTGCGATCCGACTGCGAGGGCGCCGGCGGCGATCCCATCTCTTCGGCCGATGCGGGAATGGGGAAGGGCACCCGCTGGTCGAGTTGCTGCTCCTGCTGCTCGTGCTGCTCGTGCTGCTCGTGCTGCTCGTGCGACTCCTGCTGCTCCTGCGGCTCCTGCGACTCCCGCAAATTCTGCTCCTCCCTCTGTGAACGCCGCTGCTGCAGCTGCTTGTTCCTCAACTCCATCCTGTAAATCGGGTCCACGGGCAGCACGGCGCCCTCCTGGCCCGAGTCTGTGCGCTCGTAGGCCTCGGAGATCTGCCGGTCGATCCTGCCGACGATGGCGTCCCAGCCAAAGGGCAGGTAGCGGTCGCGCAGCTGCGAAACGAGCTGGTCCCTCTCGGCGATGAGCTCGACATTGTCGCTGGCTTGCTGGTCGGTGAGCTGGGCGAGGATCTCGCGAAGGCGCTCCTGCATCTTGCCCGAAGAGGCGCGGAGGCCGCCGACGTCCTTGCGGATCCCTCTGCGGACGGGTGCGCTGATGATGACGGCGGGCCAGATGGGGTCGAGTGTGATGCCGAGGGGGGGCTTGTAGCTCGAGGTGCGCACGTAGGAGCCGACCTTGATGACAAAGGAGACGGCCTCGTTGTAGGTGATGAACCTGTAACGGCGGCTGACAAAGTGGTGACCGGGCTGGGCTCCGGGGGGAGCGTTTGCGGGTGTGTTGTGGGTGCCCGAGAGTACCCAGTGGTGTCCAAAGTCTCTGATGGCGACGATGAGTTGGAGGCGGTTGATCTGATGCGGAGTGAGGTCGTGGGCGGAGGGTGGTTCGGGCAGTGGGGGCTCGAATGTTTGAGCTGCTTGGGCGCGGGCTTGCCGAGCGTTGTGTTGAGAGGTAGAGGCATGGACAGGGTTGTCCTGCTTGGATGCAGCGTGTTTCGGGCGAATCAAGTTGAAGAAACGCGGGGAAACGGCTCGGGAAGAGTTGTACCTGTGCGTTGTGGGGCCGGGCGAGGATACGGCGGCGGGCAGAGTTGGTTGCGATGCGGGCGCGATGCTTGCGTTGGTTGTGCCGACGAGGGAGCGTGCGATGCGGCGAGGTAGTAGCGTGTTTGCCATCCTGACGGGCATCATGGCGAAGGTGTTGTTGTTGATGGTGGTGGTGGTGGTGGTGGTGGTGGTGGTGGTGGTGGTGGTGGCCTGTACGAGGCCCGTCAAAGGGCGACAGCGGCTGCGCGTCAGCGACCAGGCGTTGGGGCCACCTTCCAAGGTGGAGGCTGGCCAACCTCTTGCCTTTGTCGGCCGGCTCAGTGATTGATTGATCCACGGCGCTTTCCGCAGTTGGCTTGCGAGGTTTTCTCTTTTTCTTCGCTTTCTGATTTCCCCACCTCGAGCCAGCCAGAGCGCCAGCCAGAGCGCCAGCCAGCCTCGCGCCCCTCAAAAAGACGACAACGTTTGCACCTGCTCATCTCTCTGCCCCCCTTTGCCACCCAACCCGCCGCCTCTTGGGCACCTTGCCACCCTCTCTTGTCCCTCGCGGAAACGCAGTATACCCAGCCCGACCTTTCCTCCCTCATCGGCGCATCCCTCATCGGCGAGCACCGCCACCATCAGCACAAGCACCATCAGCACAAGCACCATCAGCAACATCATCATCACCGCCGCCCAACCGCAACGCTTCCTCGCTTCCGTCCCGTCCTTGATTCACACGTCCACGTCCAGCCAGCAAAGTAGCACGTACCTCCCTCCCCAGAGCTGGCCTCTAGTCTCCCCCTCGTCGTCCGTATCTGGCCTCTCTCGCTCCACACTGTACTGCACCGCACGGCACCCAATCGCGCCACACACACAGCACCGCATCCACTCGCAACCCGCGCCCACGCCCACCATGCCCGTCTCGTACTACGACGAGGTCGAGCTCGAGGACATGGCCTACGACGAGGAAAAGGACCTCTTCCACTTCCCCTGCCCCTGCGGCGACCGCTTCGAAATCACTCGCCAGCAGCTCAAGGACGCAGAAGACGTCGCACGCTGCCCCAGCTGCAGCCTCATCATCCGCGTCGTCTTTGACCCGCTCGACTTTGAAGACGACGACGACCGCGATGGCACCGTAGTCCCGCACCCCTCCAACACGATCGCCGCAGCCGCCTAGACCATCGTGCCCGGTCGACGCCGACGCCATCCGACCTCGCTCGATCATCATTCAAAGTCCCGCCCTCGCCCTCGCACTGCGACCCGTGAGTCTCGTTGGGTCAATCTCTGTCTCTGCAAGCCGCTGCCGCTGCCGCTGCCGCTGCCTCGCCGCCCCGCCCCGCCCCGCCCGGCACGGCCTCGAATGATTATAAACCTATTCAGTTCTGCTTCCGAATAGAGGCTTCGCAACCTCTTGTGGACAACTCATACCAACTTACCAAATTCATTATGACAATCCGCCACTGCCGGGCGGAGAGAGGAAGCGGGCAGCTCCACGGGCAGCGCAGCGCGGCGCGGCACGGCACGGCACGGCACAGCTCGGCTGCCATCGTCGCATGTCCTAGACGACTAACCGACATCGAACCCACTGCCTGTCCCGCTCCGTCGCCACAGCATAGCTCGCAAGCCAGCCTCCGGCCCCTCGTCCAGCCTGGCTCCTCGCCGCTGGACGCACCCGCACCTTGACGCAAGCGACCAGCGTGAGTGTCTAGATCGATCTGTGGCCACCAGCTCGCCGGCCCCGTATCGACGCGCGGGGGAAGGTCCTTTGCTCGCCCGGGGGCCCTCCGTTCATGATTAAAACTAGTTTATCCATTCTCAGAAGGTGCTGGACCTTCCGCCGTGGTCGTCGGCGGCGGAACGCACTCTGGCACGCTTCCCCCACCCGGGGGTTGGGTACAAGTGCACCTCTGCTCGTCTGGCGCACCCCGCCCCGGCGCGTTCTGCCTCCGTCTGCCTCGCGCCGACGGCATTCGAACCGGTCCTTTTGGGGCATCGCCGCTCGCGTCCACCGCTGCTCTCGAGGGTGGCTTCTTCGGAAGCCTCGCACGTCTAGGCCGCCGGGGGGCGACTAACTCGCAGTGGCCGGCCTCGCGTGCCCTTCCTGACAAGGATGCTGGCTCGTGCGGCTCGGACCCACCCTGCGGTATGCGAAAGCCTCCCATCCAAAGGTGTGAAGCCTTCGTGCCTTGCCTCGGCTGTCGGCGGTGGAGGCAGTGGCCTTGCTTCGGGACCGGGTCGAGTGCCGGCGCACGGGGTCCGGATCGTGGCGGGACCGCGCCGGTGGTGCGTTTGCGGATCCAGCGACTTTACGATGCATCAATCTTCTCGATGATACGACCCACCGCGCGCGTCGCCGGGCGAAGGCGTGGCCAGGTTCAACCGGATGCAGGATACTGATCCTCTCCCGCCGGGACATTGCTCCCCACCTGTCGTCGTCCCCGCAGTCTAAGCGTGATCTTTCGATCAGCCCGGGTCTGTCCGGCGTGCAAACCAGCGCAAGCACAGCAAAGCCCTCTGGACCTCTGGGAAGCTGCGTGAGTGTCTTCTTTTTTTTTTTTTTTTTTCTTCTTCTTTCGGCCCTCGGGCGACACTTCGACGACGACGGGACGAGCCGGGAAGAGGAGGGATGTGAGACTCTAGGAGAGAGAGAGAGAGCACCGCGATACAGCCACGGTCTCTCTTCTCTGCTAGGAGTGTCGCCCTCCTCGCCTGCTGGCGATGACGAATAAGTTTCCCATAACTTTCATTCCGAGCGGTGAGCCATTGCAGTGGCAGGGCCGAGATCCGAGCTCAAAATCATGCATCACCAACTGAGCCGCAGCGCACCCCTCGCGCTCGTCGTCGTCGTCGTCGTCGTCGTCGTCGTCACCGCCATAGGCCTTGTCGGTGGTACCGCCCTCCCACCTCGCTGGGATGCGTCCGACTGACCCTTTGTCGTTGCACTCATGTTTCTTGTTTGCGATACTTCAGAACGCCGCCGCTCGCCCGACTACCGTCGCGTCGACATGCCAATCGTCGTCGACATCGTTGCGCCTCTTTGATGCGGTGCCGCCCTTCGCCTTCCCTCTCGTGTCCCTGTACAACATCCTGCCCGTTTCGTCCGTCAATCGACGTACCGTCGTCCGCGCACGATCGCTGTATCCCTATGTACCTCATCCTCGGCCCGCGCAAAATTATCGAATCTCGCTCGCGTCCCGTCTGTGCCGTTGACGTCTACGTGCTCATCCGGCTCGGTTCGTTATGTCCCGTCTGGAAGCCATGATCGCGTAGAGAGCGGCAAAAATAATTTCTCCGCTCCGTCAATCACATGGTTTGTTTCCCGCTCGCGTCGGTGGCGCCGCTGAATTCTAGGTGCGTCTGCTTCTCGCCTGGCACTTGCAGCAGCGTCCAGCCGGCCTTGCCTTGGCAGAGAGGAATGCCGGTGAGGCGCACCTTGACACACCGTCTGCTGGAGTGGACGACGGCATCGCACCATGTGCCACCTCTCTCCGCGCCGACGCGATCCTCGAACCGATGTTAGGCGACGAGAGGGAGGGCGCGGGAAGGATGAGGGGCCGGAACGGAGCCTGTTCCCCGCCCGCTTCGACAAGTTTGGTCCGTCAGCGAGCGCCCGACAGGCTGGCCGGTCTCTCGCGGATACACTGCCGCTTCGGCTCGTGACCACGCAGCAAGCCGGCTGGCAAAAGTGCCCCGCGCACGTTACGCTCATCGATCCACTCGAGGCTGGTTCAGAGCTTGTCTGGTCTGTGCCCGAACCCTTGAGCCTTTGCTGACGTACCCGCAGCGGCCCGACCGATCCCTCGTCCGTTCTTTGAGCCCCACGTCGGTCTAGGCCCGAGTGGCGTAAGTGTTTCAAGGTGGGCTCGGTTGTGATGTTGCCAGCGCACGCCGCGCGGTGGGGCGTCTCGCTGTTCGCCCCTCACAACATACAGTACATCGCCGGCGTCGATCGAATGCACGCAGCAGACAATCGACTGAGCTGCGATCCATACTACCGACCCCCACCTGCACCCACAACAGAAAGGCCGCGGCGCGGCGTGCTGTGCGAGGTATGTACGTACGATCCATCGGATGTTGAGTTCCGGACGGCATGCCTGCTCGGGAGTGGGTGGGGTGAGTTTAAGAATGGCCGAGGGGCGAGCTGACAGTGTAGGACCTCGGAGCTCCAAGCGCCTGTCTCGCTGGCATGTGTGTCGGTGAGATGGACGCCGCGCCGACCCTACCCACTCCCCCCCGCGACGTGCTATGAAGTACCGTGTGTGCACAGGTATAAAATGCCGATGCTGCCTGCCGGTAGCCTCCCCAACCTCCTCAACTCAATCTCCAACCTCCTCAACTCAATCTCCAACCTCCAACCGACCCCAAGCCTGCAGCTTCTCCTTTCCGGCCTCTTTTGAACCCACAAACCAATCGTCGTTCTAGCCAGCACCAGACTTGAAGCTCTCTCTCCCCCTCATCGCCCTCGCCACCTCGGTGTTCACAACCAGCTGCGGCGCCTGGCATGTCGCCGGCTCACCGGATTTCCCGACCCTCTTCTTCCAATACAAATACATCATCAACAATGTCGGCACCGTCTACGCAGGCAAGGAAGGCGACGCCCGCGGCAAATCGCTCATCTGCTTCCAGTCGGCCAAGGGCGGCCCGACTGGCCCATGGCAGCTGAACGAATCTGGGAGTCTCAGCAACACAGCTAGCGATGGCGGTTGTCTGGATGCTGCTCAGAACAGTCAGGCAATTGATCTCTACTCCGATGTGTTGGCGCCGCCGGTCCCTAAGGGCAAGTACTCCGTCTCCGGTGAGTAGAACAATCTCGCTTCCACAATCATGAATCCAGTTGCCATCGCGATGCGTGTCTAACTCGCACATGCCCGGACGGATCCGTTTTGAAATTTCTCCTATACCTTCGCGATGTAGTGGGCGACCTCAGTAGTCACCCGCTGGGCCCCTTCAGTCGCTGCAGCAACTTCATCCACTGCTAGGCTCGCACCAGCTCGGAGGCGCGTCAACAGTGTTGGCGTTTGCCAGGGCGCTGGCCTTCTGCCATGCCCTTGTCCTGGTGGTTTGTCATCGCCCTTCCACGTCGACCGCGCCACCAGTCTCGAAGCTGCGAGAATCTTAGCTGCGTCGGGTCACATCGGCAGTGGCGCACGATCGTAGCGGCTGGGCACTGTTAAGGGCGCCGTGGTGCGTCGAGCTTTGCTGTTGCCGCTTTTGCAGCAATACTCAGCAGGGCGGATTCCACGCTGTTCGTCGCCCTGTCAGCCCCCTTCAAGCAACTATCTAGTCAAGTCTGTATCCTCGCCACGGCTTTCCTTGCCTCCCTCGCCGATCTCTCTAGCCGTTTGGATAGACACAGTGCTTGACAGGCGCGCGAAAGTACGAGCTTTTCTCCTTTCCGCTACTGCTCGATTCCGGGGCAGCGTGCGTTCTGAGCTGACACATGATGGAGTTTGGAGCGACGACGTCTGAGTTCCATTGTGTGCTGTCGCACCATGGCGCTATATTGCATGGTCTAGTATCCGCTCGATGTGGCGACGAGTCTGACATGCGAGATGTTCCGCCCGCAGCAGCGCTCGTGAGGGCCTCGTCAGGAGGAAAGGGACAACGCCGCATCAGGATCTGGCGAGGCCCGATGGAGCTCAGCACAGCCGTCCCTGCCCGACCACTATGTACATTCGCGCCCGTTTCGGCTTGAGGCGCCGAAACGAAGAAGCCCGGGCTGCGTGGCTCTCGTATGACTGCAGGAGAGCAAAGCAGACGCGTGCCTTTCCCTTCCATCGGGCCTTTTGTATGGGCCTCATTAACGCTGCAAGTCAGCGGCGCGGCTTTCGACGTTCGTTGGCGATGCAGCCAGCAGATAAAATTCAGAGCGGACGGATTTGGTTATTGGGTGGCCCTGCCAAGGGGATGTTGGTGGCACCTTGACGGGATCCCAGGCCCACCTTTGAGGAGGCGCCACCAAGGTGCCGCCAATGTCGCCTAGACGGCCCCGCGGCGGTAGTACCTTCCAAGTAGAGCCTGGATCGCCGCCAAGGTGCCACCAACATCGGCGGCACTTCCGATAGACCTCCAACCTTGGCGCAACTTCGTTGACACATCTGGAGAGCCCTCGGCGGGACTTGGTGGCAGTACGTGTCTCCGGCAACGGTAAAGCGGGCTGAGCTGCAGGGGATATAAACCCACCTTGACCGCCTTTCCTCCTTTCCTCCCACCACCATCTACCACCCTCTCTGCCTTTGCCCCATCGCGCTGGTACGTAGTCCATCAAAGCGCCCCGCACCTGATCGTGACCTTCAGATGCTGACACTGATCATTTCTTCTTTTGTTACTCTCGCTGCCCTTGGCTACCAGCCCGTTCTTGATGCGGTTGACCATCCTGTAGATGCCGTCGCTGGTGGAATCGACGCTTTGCATCGCTCGTTCCATCAGAAGCAGTGGCCCAAGCGGGTGTATGTGTGCAGTTTGCATCCAAGGTCATGCTGACATGGTTGTCCGGCCACCTTGAGCTTGGCCGGGCCCACCAAAGGTGCCGCAATAGGGTCCATCGTGGGATGGCCACCAAGGTGCCTACAAGCCAACCTTGGTCGACACCGTAATTTGTCTGCTTCGATTCAGTCTGACGATGTTTATACGCTGCTTGACCCATTCGGGCCGGCACAAAGGCGCGCCGACTTGCCGCGCTTGATCCAAACGGGTCGGTGACACGGGCGGGGAGGCGAAGGCAGCCTAGCCTGTTCGTTGACGGCTGCCCCTGTGGCGTGAGGTCAAGGTGGCCGAGTGGCACCCTGCGATGACCCCACCTTGGCCACGATAGCCAAACCTTACGCCGGTCAGTCATTACTGTCTAGGGCGCGAGATGCTGCCAGCCTTTGTTCCTCTAGGGTGACTGCGCGCTCAGTGCCCACCACCTCAACTTCAGCGGCAACTCCTCTGACCCACAGACAGCCGGCTGCACGGCCGAGGTGGGTACCACTTCGGAAGTCCGTACGTACGGTGGGTGCGTTTCTCCTCGTCAATCGCTTGCTCGAACCATGCTGACGCCGCAAGAGAGCGGTCAAGCCCCCGGTCCCCCACCTCTTATTCGATGCCTTACATCGACTTTGGTCACCTTAGGCCCTCATCGCGAGAGGAAATGACACGGAATGCATGGCCGGTCGGTGCGTTGCTGCTGGAAGCCAACCAGCCAGTGTGAATAGATGCCCAGCTTGGCCCGTGGCAAAGCACCGCGTCGAAGGCCTGGTGCACACGTATATAAGCTTGCGATGCGAGGCTCCAGCCGAGAAGCAAAGTCCTCTCAACATCCTGCACACAGTGCGAACCACCTCTCCAATCCCTTGGTCGAAACACCCTCCAAGCTCCATCATGAGGCTCTCAATCGCCCTCCTCACCCTTGCCCCCTGGCTGGTCGCCTGCGACGGCTTCTACATCAACGGTCAGTGGACCACAGGCCTGGTACTGCAGAAAAAGCATACGATCCCTGGCATCGGAACGCTCAGCAGCGAGACCAAAGGTGGCAAGACGTACCTCTGCTTCAACTCGATTGCCCCGCATTGGCGCACCTGGACGCTGCAATTCACCGACACCGATGGACTCTTTGTCCTGCAGAAGGCCTTGGACTCGGTTCAGATGTACGGATGTGTCGACGGCACTGATCCCACGTCCGATGCTGGTCGGGCTCTCGGCATCCTGACTCGAGGCCATGGCAAATCCCCCGACTGCACCCTCGTCCGTGAGTCCAGCCGCGAACAGCACGCATCGCCCTGCGTATGCCACCCGCGCTCCGCTGCGCAGTCATGGTAGTGACGCTGATTGCCGTCGTGCCAACCTTTCAACCTCGCAGTTGGCACCCAGACCTTCAACATCCCTCGCCTGAGCTGAGCCTCCTGGGCGAGCCGGCGGGCGCATCGCAGTCGCATCGCATCCTGCTGCCCGTATCCTCCTGTCAACCGCCCGCGTCGACAAGCGTGGCTCGACTCGATCCCGCATGTACGAGTAGAACGAGGAAAGTCTGTACTGAGCGTCGCAAGGACTTTTCCCCGTCGCGGCACCCTGTCGCCTCCGCTAGCTTCCCGCACAAGACAGAGCGGGTAGAACGCTCTTGTCCGTATCCTCGCTAGTAATTTGACCCACCGTTCTGGCCGGTACGAAGGCGCGCGCGCCCACTTCCCGCGCTCAGACTCGAGAGGTCAGCGACACAGGTACGGAAGCGTAAGCGGCCTGCTTTTCGGTGCTTATTCCTGCGGCGTAACGACCAGGCGGCGAAGCGGCGGCACCCTGCGCCTATTCACCTCGGCCCGCCATTGATTCTTGCCTGAAAGGTGCTCGAAGCCCCTAAGCCGCAGGTCCAGCGATGGACGGCTGGCTGCACGGTCGAGGTTTGGTCGACCTCAAGAGACCGAGCAGGGATGGATACCTTCAGCGGGTCGACAACCTCAGTCGCCCTCGCCTGGTGGCGGCACGGGCTCGGAGGCACTCCCTGTTCTTCGCTGCAAAGACAGAACGCTGCTGGTTCCTGTGCCCCGTCGAGCGTCAAGGAGCGAAACGATGCGTGCGACGTGATGCGTGGGTGCGTTGATTCTGCGACCTTCGGCGTCCGACGTTCGGGTGTCAGGCTGCTTTGTCGTCAAAGGAACGGCACGTCGTCTCTGGCCGTGACACTCCACCTGGCGGCTTGGTACTGAAGCCATGACGACAAGCGCACGTCGATGATGCATCTCCTGAGACCAAAGGTATCTGCATTCGCCAACCGTCCCAGCAGCGAAGCCGGCTCAATCGCATCGCCCGTCCGCCGGACCATCCTTCCACCTCTCGTTCAACCTCTCCTCGCTGCACTCAAACGCGGCCTTTCCCAGGCGGTGGTTGACCTCGTTGTGGATGCCGCAGAGCCACTTGCGCAGCGCCGGCCCGGACCGCACGGCCTCCTTCATCCTCAACCCCTTTTCCTCCCAGCCCCCGTCGCGCTCCTCGCGCCGGTACTCTTCCCCCAACGCCTCGGCGCAGCTGTGACACGGGTAGAGGTGCTGCAGCGAGGTGAGGAGGGCGAGCATCGAGCTTTGCTGCACCGACGTCGGCGACGCGGGGAAGTAGGCGGCGGCACTGTGCAGAAACGTCCAGGTGGACCGGCCGAGCTCGATGCCGTCTGGTGGGCATTCGAGTTGGTCGCTGTCGGCGGCGTCGTTCGTGGATGCTTGAGAGCCGAGAGCGCTGCCCGCAGTTGCCACTGCGGCCGCGGCACCGGCAGCCTTGGCGCTGCCCTCCTTCTCTCCACCAGATGACGGGACCGGGCTGGCAATCGCCGGTTTCGCCTTCTTGAAGGCGGCGGAAAAGGCGAGCTTCGAGTTGCAGGCTCGACAAGGCTTGCCGTCCGGCCCGAGGACGACGGCTGGGTGCTTGGCGGATGGCTTGATCGACTCGCTCGAGATGCCGGCGTCCCGCTCTGCCTTGACGTCGGCTTGGGAGAGCCCTTCGAGCGAGATCTTGCCCTTGGAAGTCGACGACTCCGACGGCGACGTTGGCGGGACGCCCCATTCCGGTGTTCCTTCTGGCCTGCTGATGCGTTTCGGCTCCCACTCGTCCAGCTCGTCGGACTTGGCCTGCAGCTTCTGCACTCGCCGGAGCGGAGAGGAGAGGTGGCAGCAGCAGATGACTTGTCAGCCCTGTCCGCCACGACGCTAGATACGCGAGCTGGGGCGACTCACAAAGTACTCTTCCCTGAGGTCGACCTTCTTCCTGTCCCTCTTGAGCCGGAGCTCCTCCTCCTTGGTGATGGTCTGCACCTTTTGCGCGTTGTAGTCGTAGCGGGTCTGGGTGAGGGTGCTAAGTCCGAACGAGGCTCCGACGATGGTGATGATAAAGGGAAGACCAAAGAAGAGGACCGGGCGCTGTCGGACCTTGGGCGCCAGGCGGCTGAGCGCCGATGGCGGGCGGCGAAGCGGTTTCGATGAGAAGGTGGGCATGCCGGTGGAGCGTGGGCTGGATTGGCTAGAAGTCTGGTTTGTCAGTGGCTTGGTGCGAAGGTGGAGAATCTGATGGTAAGCTAGGGCAGAAAGGGAATCGAACGGATGCGGAAGTGGCGTTGATGTGCTGCTGTAGGTAGCGTCGCAAGGGGTGGCGAGTGGTGACGGTGGTGGTGGAGGCTGCTCGACGGTGGCGGCGGTAAGCATCTTCGGCTTCGGCCGTCCGAGGGAGCGGGGTCGAGCGTCGAGCATCTTCTGCCTCAAAAAAATCGAGCCCGAGTTCCGAGGCTCGCCCCCCCGCTCGGAGGAGGCCGGCTGAGCCCACGGCCGCAGAGCTGGTCCCCGCGCCGCCCGACCGCCACTTCGGCCGGGCGTGTGTGACTCGGCGAAAGGTTGTTCATGGCAAGTCCGTGGCTCATCGAGGGTATAGTACAGAGGGACGAGCGATCTACGAAGAGACGGCATTGACAACACTGCGATGCGACGAGCGGCCGACGACCTCAATGCACCGTCTGTTGTGCCGCCTGATCCGCTGGCCGGGGGACCGACAGGCCTAGCGTCGGGTCGAGGGCGGGTGGTGACGGCAGATGAGCCTCGCCGAGATGAGTCCCGTTGACCGGTCTGGACTGAGAGCTGTTTGATGTGATTGAAGACGAGAGAGATGATGATGAGGGCTGTCCCGTCGCCGCCGTCGTCGCGGCAGCTGCTGCAGAGGCGGCGGCGGCGGCGGTGGCAAAGCTGCTCAGGCTGCCCGACACCGAGGGCGGGTAGCCCGTTTTGAGCGCAAACGTGGGGCTCCGGACCGTGGTCGAGTTGTGCGAAAGGTGGTACTCGTCGACGATGGGGAGCTGCAGCACATTCATCCGCGGCGTGATGCAGACCAAGGTGTTTGTCGGGATCTCCATCCAATCGGCTGGCAAAGAAGACGGGCCGACGCGGGGAAATCGTGTTAGCCAGCGTGTTGCGGCTCGGCGGACGCGGTCCGAGGCTGACGAGCCCGCGCCACTCACCCTTCTCGAAAGTCAAGGGCTCGCTGGCCACGACGATGATCTTTTCGCGCTTGTCGGTCTTGACCATGCGGTAGGCGCCGGGAGCGTGCTCGTAGAACGAGGTGCCCGAAGAAAAGTAGAGGCTGGCCGCCTGCTCCTCCTTGCTCGAGACGTAGCGCGTGCAGACGACGCTCTGGCCGTCGGTGACGCAAAAGTTCATGAGGCTGGGCTCCTTGACGCCGGCCTCCTTTGCCCACTGGTTAAAGTCGCCGATGGTGGCGAGCATGGCGTCGCGGAGCTCCTTGTAGGAGAACTGCTCCTTTTTCAGCGGGTCGTCGAGATGGCTGAGGAAGACGGCAAAGGCGAACTCGGAGTCGGTGTGGCCCTGGGGAAAGAGGAAAAGGGGCTCGGGGAGCGAGGTGAGGACGCGGCGCTTGATCCTGCTGAAGCCCGAGATCTGTCCGTTGTGCATCCACATGAGCCTGCCGTATCTCCAAGGGTGGCAGTTGGTCTCGGAGAGGGCGCCCGAGGTGGACGCGCGGACGTGGGCAAAGACGAGGGGCGACTTGATCTTTTCGGCGATGCGCTGGAGGTTCTGGTTGTTCCAGGCGGGGGTGACGCTGGTAAAGATGCAGGGCGCGTCGCCCAGCTCCGGATCCGGCGTCGAGTCGTACCAGCCTACGCCGAAGCCGTCGCCGTTGACGGCGCGGGTGGCGTCGAGGCGAAGGCGCGAGTCAAACGCCTGGTTGATGATGCTGTGCGCCGGGCGGGTGATGAGGTGCGAGAGCTGGATCGGATCCGCGCCCTTGAAGACTGCAACGGAAGCGCCAAGGCGTGGCGGTGACGGCGAAAGTTTGAAGCTGGATGAGCAGGTCCGTCTTCGGACGAGGACCAGACAGATCGAAGCCAGTGAAGACCAACTCACCGAGAAGGCGGCACATGGTAGCAGCGGCGAGGCTGTCGGCTTGTCCGACGAGGCGGGGTGCGCAACTGAGCTGAAAAAGAAGGAAGGCAAAGGAGCGAGCGAGAGGGTTGCAGAGATGGAGGGCGAGTCGGGTTGGACCGAGCCGAGACGAGCGCAGGTTGATGATCGGTAGGTCTGAGCTGGCCAAGTCGGTGATGGTATCGAGGCAGGCTGGCAAGGTGTGTTGGGCGAGGAAAGCGGTTAGGCCAGGCCAGGCCGTGCACGCCATTCTTTTGAGCTCGCCCGCGGCCGGGATGTCGCCGAGCGCCGCGCTCCACATCCCGAGCCGCCCGCCTCTTTTTCCCCCGCTGCAGCTGCAGCTGCAGTTGCACTCGCTGCGCTGCCAGGCCTGCCAGGCTTGCCGTGCCTGTCGAGGCCTCGTCTGGAACTCGCGCCTTGACTTGGCTCACAACCACCGGCGCCCAACCTTTTTCGCAGCGGAACAATCCCGAACCTGTCCTCGAGCTCGTCTCTGCGCAGCATCGCCTCGACTCGACGTTCGGACGCGGGCCGTTCCGAACTCCATCGCCGCTCGGCAGCCGGGAAGCAGCGACGCCCTGCACCGCCAAGCAGTCCAGACGAGCCAGGCGGACGCGTCTCGGTCTGCTCCTTGCTACATCTTCGAGTCGAGCACTCAACAGCGCACCATGTCCGTCGACGACGTCCCAGTCGATCCGACACCGCCGGAAAACACGAGGAGGCTCGTCGGCGGCGTCCTTTTTCGCCGTGGCCAGCTAGGTGTGCACGGCACCGATCCAGCCATCGAGCAAGAAGCCGCCGACGACATCGTGACGCTGGCCACCACATCGAGGCTAACGCCACACTCCGGCGGACTGTGCTCTGATGTCTACAGGACGAGCCTCGCGCTCGACTCAGACAATGGACGCGGCGCTCCGCCGCGATCGCTGCTGGGAGAGCTCGTAGAACGGCACGCGGGCACCCCGGGGCAAATCTGCATCAAGCGCGTGACGGTCGAGGACCAATGCCGTCCCCACTCGGTCGAGCTCGAAGTGTCGATGCTCGAGCGGCTATCGCACCGCAACATTGTCCTGCTCCTCGCCGCCGTCGAGGATACCTCGGATCCCTTCGGGACGGTGCTGGACCTACACATGCCCCTCTACCCCGCCACACTGACCGACCTCCTCAACGACCCTTGCTTCGCACCGTCCTCGATCGTGGCCACGCTCGACCAGGATCTCGACGTGCAGCGGCATCGACCCGCCCTCTCCCTGTCCCATCTCTGTTCCACGCCGCCTCGACGCAAGTTCGCCTCGTTTGCCGTCTCGCTCGCCTCGCAGCTCTTCTCGGCCCTGGCGTACCTCCACGACGAGCAGAGGATCGCGCACCGCGACATCAAGCCGGACAACATCCTCGTATCGGCCGATGGGACGGTCAAGCTGATCGACTTTGGCACCGCCCTCGACCTCTCGTCTGCGGCACCCTCTGCGGCTGGAGCCGAGACCGGGCCTGGACGCGTCGGTCACGCCAAGGAGGGGAGCAACGGCAGCGGAGCGGTGTTCCAGGTGGGCACCGGCTGTTTCCGCGCACCCGAGCTCCTCTTTGCTCCGACAGACGGGTACGACGCGTTCAAGATTGACATTTGGGCGGCTGGAGTGACGCTGGCCCATCTCTTCACCGCGTTGGAGACGGTCGTCGAGGAGACGGAGGAGGACGACGAGGACGACGAGACGTGGGACGACGAGCGAGTACAGGAGGGGGACGATCGACCATCATGGCAACGGGCCCTGTGGGATGACGACGACGACGAGGTCACGACGATGGGCAAAGACACCTCCGCACCTCCCTCGGCGATGACAGCACCACCACCACCACCTCCGCGAGCAGCGACAAGGGGAAAGCGGGGGTACGCACGCGCCCCGCTGTTTGCGGGCTCGTTTGGCGAAATCGGGCTGGCATCGAGCATCTTTTCGCTCCTCGGGCGGCCGCACACGGCGGCCGAGTGGACCGAGTCGACGACGTTTCAGCCTCCGCTGCACCGTCTTCCCTTTCCGCCCTCGTCGCCGCGCCCCTTTGCGGAGATCGTCGAGGAGAAGCTCGTCTACTTCCATCCTGCACTCGACGAACTCGATCGAGGTGGGGAGGGGAAGATGAGAGAGAGGTTGGAAAAGTTGGTACTTGTAGCCATTAGGGAGATGCTGGTGCTTTCTGCCTCGAAGAGGTGTGAGGCTCGGCGCGTGGTCGAGCTGTTGCAGCAGGAATAAAAGTCGTCGTCGTCCCTCTACCCTGCATCGTCTTGCATGCCCACGACGCAACGACGAGCGAGGGTCGTATAAGTCATAGATGTGTGTTTGTTTCAATAGAGAGTGGAGAGGGAGAGGGAGAGGGAGAGGGGGCGATCCGACGGTACAACATGCTCGCAAGCGGGGCGCGACAAGGAAAAAGGGGGTGAGATCAAGAGGGAAGAGCGTGCGTAACTAGAGCGAAAGACCAAGAGGAGCGCGAGCGCAAAGAGGGACCGGGCAAAGACGGATCCGCACGGCGATGCCAATGGGTCGGCGAGCGGTCCCCGAAGCACAAAAAGGGTGCGAGGTACAGCGAGGAAAAGAGAAGAGCAAAAGAGGAAGGGGTAAAGCAACGGTGACACAGTCGAGGAGTCGACTGGAGGCCTAGGAAGTGGGGGTTGCGGCGATGGCGGCGGAGGTGGTGGTACAGAGCTGGGGGTGGAGAGAGGGCGAGAGGACTGCGCGTGACGAGGACGGCAGAGGTTTCCACCGGTGAGCAGCTCTTTGTCGTCTCGGCTACCCGGCATAGAGCAGGCGACCGAGAGACGGCATATGGAAGGGGGAGGAAAGCGGGTGGCAGTGGCGAGAGTCGCGTGCGGGAGAATGCCGGAGTTGGGATGTCGGTGGTGGTACAGGATGTGGGTGGGCGGGCGAGCGGCGGGCGATGGGGATCATGCAGGTCTGCAAGCGTGGTGGTACACGATGGACAGTGGAGGGTATGAGGGGGATGGGGATAGAACATGTGAGGGGGGGAGAGGGCAGGCCTATCCGAGGTCGTCGTGTCCGCCCCTGGACCTTGGATAGGTGAGCCGGTGCGAAGGCGGCGGGCCACGGGAGCGATGGCGCTCGCGGCCATCAGCCGTCAGCCTTCTGGAGGCGTTTGCAGCGGTAGCGGCCCCGCTCAACGCTGGATCGGGTACGGCAACGACATCTCCGAGGCGGCGACGGCGGCGACGGCAGCGGCCGCCTCAGACGACGACAGCGCCGACACAGAGGTGGCAGCCGGGGCAGCGACATCGACGAGGCGATACTTTGGATGGACCTGGCTGGGCACCTGCGGGCTGGCGGCGCGCAGCTCGGTGTCGAGGGGAAGCGCAGCGCCGGTGACGTTGTCCGAGACCGAGCGGGCAAAGCTGCCGCGGCCAGCGCTGCCGGTCGAGGATGCAGCGACGGGGGCCGGCGCCGGGGTGGCGGTGGGCTTCATGAGCTCCGACACCCACGCCTCCCACTCAGACTCGCCGACGACGAGGCGGTAGTCGATGGCGGCAAGAAATGCGCGCTCGATGCGGCCGAGCTCCTTGACGGGCAGGCCAGAGATCTTGCACCACGCCCGGTTCGAGTAGGTGCGGTCCTGCACGAACTTGGACGACACCATGACGGCGGCAAGAAACATCCTGCGCGGGCAATTGAGCATCTTAGCAGTCTCGCGCGCCTTGGCGACGTCCTCGGCGGACGAGGTCGGGGCGGGCGAGGCGGCGAGCGCCTTGGCCCTGTCGATGGCGTCCCTCAGCCGCACGCAATAGAGCAGCGCGGCTTGGAGGGTGGAGCACGAGGTGCGACCGCGTCGGAGCGTCTCGCGCACGAAGATCTGCAGCGGCAGGCCAGTCTGCTTTTCGCCGAGGTCGCACGAGGTGGAGCCACCGGTGACGGAAGCGTTCCAGATCGCGTCGAGCGTTCTGACGGCGGCATCTAGAAGGAGCGAGAGCCAAGGAGGGCAAAAAGTGGCCGCGGCGCGAGGGCAAGCGTGAGCGGGACCGTGGCTGAGGAAATCTCGTGCAATGAACCACCACGGCAACACAGTCGGGCATGCACGCGACAAGGACAGGCGCAACCCGGAAGTCGTGCATGACTGCATCCCTCGACAACGGCGTGAAACTCACCGACCAGGTTGTCGACAAAGGTGACCTTGCCCTCGCTGCTCGACGTCGAGCTGGGACTGCAGGTTGAGGCGTTGGACGCCGTGGGCAGATGTCGCTGCGAATCGCAAGCGGCGCCGGTGGGAACAACGACCTCGACAGTGCCGGCGTCGGGTGCGGGGATCGTTGGCTGCGGTGCCAGAGGTGCGGGCACTGCAACGACGCTGGCGCCCTGGATACCCTTGAGCTTCTTGCAGACACGTGCGACGTCGAGGTTGGCAAGAGACGATCGCCACGCGGCGAGGCCGTCGAGGTGCTGCTGCGACTCGCCCGACGATGCCTTGCGCGATCGCGGCGAGTCTTCGACGCTGGTCTGCGAGTCGTAGCCCGAGTCGGCCAGCTCGTTGTCGAACGAGAAGACCGAGGCGTAGCTGGAGGGCGACGAAGGCGAAGACGGCGAGGCGTGGGAGTTGGACCGCGATCTCTTGCCGCAAAGCGAGGCGGGCAGGTTCAAGGGGCCGCGCGTGGAATGTTGTCCAAGCACCTGCTGCTGCAAGGCGGTGATGTGCGAGGCGAGGTTGAGGTGATTGAGAGGCTGGAGATGGAGGTCAAGCTCCTGCTGCTGCTGCTGCTGCTGCTGCTGCGTATGAGAAGCGGCGGCTCCGGCCATCTCGGTGAGGCGAAGTTGAGGAGGGCAGCCCGCGACGGGGCGCATGTCGTGTACGGCTCGCATCCTTGGCGCTGGTGCTGGCGGCAAAGTCTAGAGGCTAGCTCGGCGAGAAGCTGGCCGCGAGACTTTGGGTTGACGGCGCGCGCGGTGGATGCAAAGGCTGCGAAGAGATGTCTTGGTGAAGATACTTCCTCGGGGCCAGTGTGCTCGTTGGACGGTGCGCAGGTGTCAAGGTGGGCGCGCGGGTAGAGCGAGTTGTGTTTTTGTGTGGTTGACCAGTGCGACGAGGACCAATACGCGTAGATGAGGACCGGGGGATGGCGACGGTGAGGTTCGCTATCGTGGGGGGTGTGGGTTCGACGCCCTCCGTCACAACAGACCTGGTCGAGAAGGTCGGCTGTGAGGTGAGGAGCAGCGATGAGACTTGTGCGAGCAGGGACGGCTGTGGTTGGCCGGCGACCGTTCGCACTGCAGTGGAGTGTGGGAGGGGGGAGGTGGGGCGTTGAAGCTGTTTGGGAGCGGGCGAAGTTTCAGTCGAGGCCGGTGAGGGCGTGGGTAGCGAGGGTGGAGTAGAGCTTGCGGAGAGAAGTCTGCCGTGCGTCTTTTCTCGCGCTAGGACGAAGAGAGACGGGCGGACAGACAGGGACCTTGGTAGGTGCTGTACGGTGGTTGAAGACCGGGGACCGACTCAAAGTCCCCAGGCGGGGATGACGACGAAGGCAAACATGGGGAAGGGTGGTGTGTGTGGTTGTGGTGGCAAGGTGCGGCGCTGAAGGTGGAAGCTATGAGAGCCAGGACCTGTTGGAGGCGACTATTTGGCAGACAGGCTTGTCGCGAATTCCGGAGAGAGCGAGGGAGGGATGGCAGTGATAGGTGTGGCGTCGGGCAGAGGTCGACTGAGCCTGGGAGCGGGACTCGGGTGACTCGTCGAGAGCTGAGCAACGAGCTCAAAAGCGGGAGGCGACGATGACGATGGGTGGCTGAGCTTCCATGGAGAGGGTTTTGACCCGTCGGAAAAGGAGGGGTCGATGGAAGGCAAGGCTCGTCGGCGACGAACGCGATGCGGCTCAGCGGGTGCTGGGGGCTGGTTTCCGTGGGATGTTGGATGGGGTTGCCTTGTTGCGTGAGTGTGCGTATGTGTGTGAGGTGCGTGGTTTGCGTTGATGGATGTGCGATGGGTGGATGTGTGGATGTGGGTGGTGGCGGGTGGCGAAAGAAGGATATCGAGACGAGAATGTATCCTCGATGGCTGCAGCGGCGGCGCGGGTGGCGAGCGAGCGGCTGTGTGCGTGTGTGTGTGGCGGGGGCGAGTCACTTTGGGGCGGTGGTGGCAAACGGGGGTCCAGGCCAGGCCAGGCCAGGCAGGTCGAGCCCAGCCCCTACAGAGAGTAGCCCAGCGCAGGGTGCGGCTGCTGTCTGTCCACCTGCCCGCCCGCCCGCCTGCCTGCCTGCCTGCCTGCCTGCTGTGGCTGCGCTCTGTGGAGCGGCGGGCGCGGCGGCCGGTGTGCCGACACTCTCTCTAGATGGGCGGGCGCCGCGGGGCCAGAGGACGCCCGCCCAGCTGGTCCCTCTGCGCTGGCGC